CACACACACACACACACACACACACACACACACACACACACACACACCCTGAGCTGTGAGCTGTGAGTTGAGTTTTACTCAGGTTCTTACTGAACGGAACCTGAACTGGAGACCACCTCTGATACCTCTGACGATCTGCTCTGAGAGGAAGGGGGAGGGGCCTATCTGTATATGGCCGGCTAGGACCATGCACGGCCAAGCATACATCTCAACAAAAGGTCACTGTTGGGACTTCCCTGGCGGTCCAGTGGTTAGGACCCAGCATTTTCACTGCCAGGGGTCCAGGTTCGATCCCTGGTCGGGAAACTAATATCCCTCAAGCCACGTGGTGCAGCCAAAAAACATTTTTTAAATAAAAATTAAAAAACAAAAGGTCACGGCTACTCACGAGCAACAGGTATGCATCTCATTTAACGATGTGTGTGTGTGAGTGTGTGTTTTCTGTGTATGGGAAGATGCAAGAATCTGGGTTCATTACAATTCTTCTGAGGTCTCTATCTACCTAAGGGGCCTGTCTTTCCGAAGTAGCTTTGTGCTGTCCTTCGTCCTCAGTCCCTCTCAGGGTGCACTGTCCAATAGCAGCTGCAGTGACTAATGATTTAATCCTTGTAGAACTGGATGGTGGGCATCATTCTTTATTTTAGTTTATTCCTCTGCCTCATTAAAAAAAAAAGTACTGAAGCGGCAAGACTAGTGTGGCCACTCCATGACGCCATCGTGAACCCAAGCTCTGCTTCTGCTCCGCCATCCTCAGAGGGGACCTTCAAAATGCCTCATAGTCCAAAACAGCTGGCAGAGGCCAGCCATCACACCCATATTCCAGACGACAGAAAGGAGAAACAGGGGAATGGGGACTGGCTGTGAATGAGCACGGGATCAGGGCCTCACCTACGAGGGACACTGGCCAAGGGGAACGACTCTGGTTTGAAGCCACTTCTCAACACTCACACCACAGCAGCTTGGGTCACTCGTTCAATCACTACATCAGCTGCGGATCATCGATCCAGCACCTTCTGGGAACCTGATATCAGCCTCGTGGGGGAGGAGAGGGAAAACAGGGACCCTGCTCTTCAAAAACAGCCTAAGGACGGGAGATTAGCTCCCCGTGGCTGCTGTCACAAATGACCCCAAACCTACTGGCCCAGAACAACAGAAGTCCATTACCCTACAGCTCCGTAGGTCAGCATCCAGCGGGCGTCTCTCTGGGCTAAGATCAAGGTGAGGGCGGGGCTCGTGGCTGCAGGAGGCTCCCAGGATGAACCCGTTCCCTCGCCTTTTCCGGCTTCTAGAGGCGTCCCCAGTCCTTGGCTTGTGGCCCCTCCCTCCACCTCCCAAGCCAGCACCGGCGGGTCGAGTCCTTTTACAGGCCATCGCTCTGATCCCCCTTCTGTCTCCCTCCTCCACTCTTAAGGACCCTTGGGATTACATGGCACCCATCGGATAACCCCAAACCAAGGCCAGCTGATTAGAGACCTTACTTGCCCTTTGCCATGTAGTGTGACACAGTCACAGGCTCCCGGGACTGGCACGTGGACATCTTTGGGAGGTCACTATTCTGTCCACCTGAGGGTTATCAGGCCTACAGAAAATGTTCACACGCATCTCCTCACACAGCCCACTCAGGAGGTGGTGTTTCCATTTCTTTGTTTTTTTTCTTTATGTTATTTATTTATTTTTCGCTACGTTAGGTCTTTGTTGCTGCACACGGGCCTTTCTTTAGTTGCGGTGCGCGGGCTTCTCATTGCGGTGGCTTCTCTTGGAGCATGGGCTCTAGGCCTGCAGGCTTCAGTAGTTGTGGCACGCAGGCTCAGTAGTTGTGGCACGCGGGCTTAGCTGCTCCGCGGCATGTGGGATCTTCCCAGACCAGGGCTCAAACCCGTGTCCCCTGCATTGGCAGGCGGATTCTTAACCACTGTGCCACCAGGGAAGCCCGGTGTTTCCGTTTCTAATAGGAGGTTTAATCAACAGAGAAAATACTGACATTAATCTAGAGACGGCAGATGTTAGTGGGAAATCTCTACAGCTCACAAATGACAACTGAACTGTTTCAGATGGTTCTGAACATCACTGAAGAAGCAATATTATAACTCTGATTGTGGGCAGGAAAAAGGAAGCTTCTCAGCCAACCTATTTCTATTTGCCACGTTCCCTTCCATTTGTCATTTTCACAACCACAGATGCAGAGTTTGTCTTCCCAGGGTAGAACAGACAGGTCAGAAGAAATATCCAAAGGGATATTGGGAGGAAAAAAAAAAAAAACACAACAGAATTTAAAACCTGGGTCTGAGAGGATAAGATTAGGGTCTCCTAATGTTTCAGGAAAAACAAATTCCTAAAACGTATTGTTATGTCTTACTGGTAAGATGCATACACTCTACCCATCAGATCCTGAAGGTGTATCCTGGCAAAACACTCCAAATTCAAGCATGGAGAATGAGCCCTGAAGCCCCTGTCTGGGAGGAAAGAAGACATTGTTTTTAATCCCTTTTTCAGATGAAGAAATCAGAGCGTAAAGTCAAGCAGGTGCACGCCCCACGCGGCACGTCCAGGGCGCAGAGCATCAGAACAGGCCTTCCTTTCCCGAGAGGCCCCACCTGCCCGCCAGGCTCTGCGGTCAGCAGGACACACACAGACACGTCACACGGACACGGCCAAGAGGTGGTCACAGGCGGAGACAGGCTGGGAAGACGCTGGGCCAGCGGGGCCTTCCTGCCCCTGCCTTTGTCACGTTCTGCCCTCACCCCATGGTGGGGAAACCTCCCTGCCCCGTTTCTTCAGGAACAGCGTCCCCCGCAGGCGGCTGCAGGCAGGGCGGCCCGACTCCCAGCACTGGGGCCTCCCATCCGACCCCACACATTGCCGTGGGGGGAGGGGCCTCTCAGGCTTGGGTCCCGCGAGCAAAGCTGGCCCAGGGGGCAATGGTGCTACCTCCAGGCTTGAAGGGGCTCAATGGGGCAACTCAGCACCACGAGAAGGTTCCACAGGGGGGTCTGGTGGGAAGGAAATGAGCCCAGGAACTCAGGCTCCCAGCTCCCAGGTGACCCAGGTCAGCTCCCACCAGACCCGGGGAGTCAGGAACACGATGGGGGGTAGCCAGGGCCGACTTCCAAATTCCTGAATTTTCAGAGAGCGCCACTGTAACAGTCCTCCAGCCTTAGCTTGAAAACAAAAGGTCACCACCTCACCTGCCTGAGGGTCTAGGCAGCCCACCAGGCCAAGGTCCTCAAGAGGGGGCTGGGGAGAGCACATCTTCCAGAAGCCTCGAAGCTCTCGTTCCGCCAGACGAGCCGCCTGCAAGGGGAGCCCTGGGAACCAGGGAGCCGGGTAGCACGCAGCACACCCCACCCCTCACCGTCGGAGGCTCCGAAGCAGGAACCTGCACAACTGGGAGCGGACCACCACTGAGCGGGGCGGCCTGGACGGGTCAGTCCTGACGCTTCGCTGCTGCCGCCCACGACCTCCGGGGCTTCTCGGCTGACCTGGAGGCTGCAACCCCTCTCCCCCCACCACCCAAGCCTGCCCTTCCTCCGCTCAGCACCACTGTCTCCTGGACACGGACTGCTGCGCCCCAGAGGAAAATGATACCTTTGGCTACACGGCAATCGCCTCGCGATGTATTTTGAAAACCGTAATTCAGAAATGAGTTTTAAACACAGCATTTTCCGTCTTGCTTGGGATCCTTGCACAAATTTCGAGAGTTAAAACGTTTCATCTCCTAAAAAATACCTTTTAAGGAGCGTGCTTCTTCAAAAGGGAAGCTGGTTGGCCCAGAGCTGAGAAATACAAGGCTTTACCTCGCCGGGTGGTGACAGCAAGGCCGTCCCCCACTGTAGAATGAAGTGAATCAGCAGCAAGTGGATCAAAAAAAGTTTATTTTGAATGTTTAATTTAAAAAAATCATACCTATGAGGTGTGCTACAGAAATTCAGATACAAGAATTGCATATAAAACCCGACCTAATCGTGGTAAAGCAAATGCACTTCAGGAAAGAAAACGTGTACCTCTTGGTCACTGGCATCCCAACACCAGAGACATTTCCACGTGGTCCCCCGGGAGGACACTGCCGCGGCCACGTGCGGGAGCCGGGTGGGCCTCGCGGTCCCTCCCGGGGGAAGGGCTCCCCGCAGCAGCCACGGCAGCGTCTCGGGCCACAGCACTCCCTCTTGTTCTCAGCCAAGTCAATCCATCAGATTTTGCTGTCACTTAACATGATATTTTGGCAAAAAGAGCACGGCCTCCTTGATGGGAAGCATTTCTGCGGTTCACCATGGGGAAGGGACCTGCCTTCCCCCAGCAGCGGCTGTCTCCCCACAGGGCGGACACAGGCCAGCTGCCCGGGGCTGGGGACAGCGGGAGGACAGTCTTTAAGGGACTGGTGACACTGAAGCGGGGGCGGGAGCAGGGGCCCAGCAGCCCTCCTGGAGGCCGGGCGTCGGGGGGAGGCGAGAGAACGAGGACAAGAGGAGGGAGCCGCGGAGAAAGGGGGGGTCTTTGCTGAAACCCAGCAAAGACTGTGGGATTTCACAGCGCAAGGGGCTTTTCCGACCGAGCCGACAGCTCCCGTACTTTCTAGCGACTGCCCCACAATTCTAACTTCCTATCAGGCCCTCCCTCTTCCTCCAAAACCCTGGGCAGGGACTCCTGCCCCCACCTCGTTGGAGTGGAGGGCGAGAGGCGGGCAGGGACAACACGCACTCAGGACCAAAGGTCCCCGAAGTGGCTCCAGGCAACAGTTGATTTGGCAAAAAAAAAAAAAAAAAAAAAAAAAAAAAAAAAAAAAAAAACAACTTAAATGCATAAAAACAATCACCGAGTCCTCCAAGGAGCATGATTACAATATATTAGCAAGTTCTGTGGCGTAAACATTTTCAAAAGCATCAGCAAAGTATTAAATATAAAAGCAGTGCACACTCCCCTCGGCACCCTGAAGAAAACACCGGAAGGCGGGCGTGGCCACAGACGGCGAGGGCGTGGCCAGCTACCTACTGCCGCAGCTCCACGTAGTTGGCGGGGAAGAGCCCATACCTGCCCTTGCACAGCCCGCGCCACCAGCCATCGTCAATCATCTCGATGTTGGTGATGATGTCGTCGGGGTCGAAGGAGATCTCATCATCGCCCGCTAGGGAGGAGGGCACAGAGAGAGGGCAGCGGTCACACTCGGCGTTCCCTGCTCAGCCACCAGAGGAAAAGCCTCCAGCAGTCCCTCGAGCTGGCGGTCTCCCACTGAGGCTCCATGGGGGTGCAGGGTTCTGGGGGTGCAGGGTCCTGGGGGTGGAGGGTTCACTGTCTCCCCTACTCTGTGAAGGGGGCTTTGCACGCACAGGGGCGCACACAGAGACAGGGCAGAGCCCTTCGAACAAAACCCTAACCCAGAGCAGATGAAGTGTGGCTGAGGGAGATACAGGAATTCCTTGGACTGTATCTGCAACTTTTCTATAACCTTGAAATTGTTCCAAAATAAATTCTTTTTAAAAATCGTAAATAACGCTCTGAGAGTCAGACTTTGACGAGACGAACGACTGGAAGCCCCGCCACCACCATTTCCAGCCCTCGGGGCGGTGTCTCACCAGCCTGGTAGTCGTAGAGGGCGATGGCTGTGATTCCAAGATCGTTCTCATATTCACCGTAGGTACCCTCCTCTAGAATAAACCAGAACAGGGTCTGAGAGGGAAGCAGAGCTCACTCTCACTCCCGTCAGACGCCCCTTCCTCAGGTCCGGGTGGAGGAGCCCGTCAGGAGAGGACGCTGCAGGGGTGCCGAGCGTGGATCGGGAGGGTGCGCCGTGGGCCGTCGGGCTCCTGCTCCCAAGGGGAGGAACCGGCTCCGAGGAGCGAATCCACGTGTAACGATCTCGATAGAGGCACTGGCAGTTCTCAGGGTGTCATTTTTTACATTTTAAAGATTGAGCACTACTTTTAGGAAAGGTCATATCATGAACAAATGAATGCAAGCAGCAGACGGCTGATCACACCTCGCGCTGCGCTCAGGGAAGGTGAGAGCCCTGCCCTGGTGTGGATTCTGATACTGATTCTCATGTCACTCCAAGTGGGAGAACGGGCTTGTGTTAAATCTGTCCAAACACATTAAAGGAAACCTCATCTCTAGAAATCAAAGACCACTTTGAGTGTTCATCCATCCATAAGATGTTCAGAGCGCGCAGAAATCTCCCTCTTCAGAGACCTCAACGTACTCTGGCTTCCTGGAAGACCTCACGAGCTTCTACTCTGATACCACTGCAGCAAGAGCCCCTTCCTCCAAGCCCACCCCTCTCAGCGCCCTCAGCACAAGCAAGGATCTCCTGGAACCCCCCGGGAGGCCAGGCCAAGCCCCCTGGGGTCTGGGGCCCGCAGCAGGACAGGAGCCCCGCAAGCATGGCAGAGGTGGGGCAGGTCGGCCAGCAGGGGAACAGAAGCAGAGGGGGTGGAATGCAGGAGACCCGTGTACCTGCTTGGTAGTGGCCCGGGGCCTCCGTGCTTTCGTAGACGGCCTCCGGGTCATAGGCCTCCCGGTACTCGGTGGCCTCCGTGCTGTACACCGGCTCAGGCTCACCGGTGTGGCTCGGCTCGGCCTGGAACGGAGCCGCGGCCTGCGGAGAGTCGAGGAGACAGTTCCCGTGGCCCGTGCCGGGTCACGGCCACACGGCCAAGAGAGACACGCGGACCACTCTCGGCCCCGGCTGAGACGAGACAGACACAGGGACGGGGAGGCGTCACCTGCTCACACCCCGCGGATGCCTGGGCCCTAATGGGTCCCGCAGTGCCGAGGGCCAGGCTCCCCTTCACAAGCCCGTCCTCACACCCCCGATACCCTGAGTCCTGCCGTCACCAAAGACCTGCCAGCTGCGAGAGCCCCACTTTCCTGGGGCAGGTCTGGCCCGTTTCCTCTTTGGGTCCCAGCCCTCCCGGGCCTCTGCCGGCAGCTCCACGGCATCACCCCATCCCACTGGCTAGGGCAGCTGAGCCTGCGGGTGGCGGGTTCCATCCTCACCGAACCCTCCGTGGAGGTGAGGCAAGGAAGTGACCAACAAGTCCCACGCAAGAGGACATCAAGAGCGCTCTGCTGACAGCCACCTGCGCCACGACCCCAGTTCCCAAACATCCACCACCGACAGCGGCTTCAACCAGCGTTTCCGACCAGGGTCCACCTGAGGGCACCCTCGCGGGTCAGAAAAGGAAGGTGCCCACGGAGAGCCCCAGGAGAGCCGGTGGTCAGGCCTCGGCTTCCCACAGAGGGTGACAGAGGGGTGCGGCAGGCCGGAAGCGCTCCTCCAGAGGCCACAGGGCAGGGCTCCACCTGGGCCGGGCACCGGGCGCCACTCCAGGGCTAAACAAGGGGGTGACGGACTCCTACTGGCAATTGCCCCTGGACGTGAAGGGAACAGACCGGAGGGTGAGGGGCCAGACGGTGCTGCAGGGTCACGCGGAGCCGCTCAGTGGTCAGGGGGTCACCCCGAGCAGGTCACTGCACACAGCCGCCAGCAACGCCCTAACCTCCTATCTTCCCGCAGCAGCCCCCCCACCCGTCACGTGGTTGGGCAGGGCTCCCTGCCCCACCCAGGACAACGTGTCATTCCAGCCTTCTTAAGGGACCAACCGCTAGTGACGGGCCCAGCAGTGGGCCCCGACGGGCGGATGCACAGGGGCCCCCTTTGCACGGGATTACAGATTCTAAGACCGCACCCGCCATACCTGCCACACCCGCCAGGCAGAGGGGTGAGCCTACGGACCACCCTGAGGCCCAGGCCCGCCCACGGTGCTCCCGCACCCTCAGCCCCTTTAGGCCCCAGCCGAGTTGAGCCAGTTTCAGTCCCTGTGACTCAGTGAGCTCTAAGTGGTGACGTCCAGGTGAAAGGGACAGCGGGACAGAGGGGACTCGGGCTGGGCCGGGTGTGGGTGTGGACGGCAGGGGCCGAGCTGCTCTGGAAGGGGGGCCCGCAGAGCCTGTGGAGACCCGGCCGTGGGCAGGGGGGCAGGTGGCTCAGTGACACAGGGGTCAAAGGAGCAGGTCCTGGGGACTGAAGACTGAGGAGGAAGGGCCAAGGACAGAGCCTCCGGAGAACACGGTGCTCGAGAGAGACCAAGGGAGGAGGGCCGCGGGGCGGCGGCCAGGCGGGGACGAGGGTCCTGGAAGGGGGTGTGGTCCGGGTCGAGGGCAGCAGGGAGTGGGTGAGGGAAAGACCCGGGCACCGGCTGACCCTTGGAGGCTGACTCAGGAGAGCACAGCGGGGCCGGCGGGCGGGTGAGAAGGCCGGTGGGTAAGCCGAGGCAGCGAGCGCCCCCCCACCGCCCCCCCCCTCCCCCCGCGCTCAGGAGGGCTGCCCTCGGGGCACCTAGCAGCACAGGGCGGGACCCCATCCACGGGGTGCTGAGCTGGGAAGGGCGTCTCCAGGGCGTCAGAGACTCATGGGCAAAGCGGATAAAAGCACCAACCTCGCAGACAGGGCTTGAAGGCAGCCTCTCCTGGGCCGGCTGGGGGGTGGGCGACGCGGGGGGCGTGGGCTTCTGGGCCCGGGCTTGCTCCTGGAATGCAGAGACAGCAGCAGTCAGCACGTCGGCAGGCCTCCCCGCGACTGCTGCTGCTGCCGGAGGAAGGAGCGGCAACACGGAGCAGAGGCGGGGCGCAGAGACGTCAAGGGAGCGTCTGCTCTGCAGGCAAGGTCATGCGGTCAAGTCTGCTCTCAAGACACGGCCCTGGTGGCCCACGCAGTCCTGCCCCCAGGGCTGACGGAACCAGCCAGAGGCGGCAGTGCCCCCCGCACACCTGATCCGCACGCCGTCCCCTGGGCTCCAAGCTGATGCTGTAACGGATTGAGACCTCCGGGGACCTTCTAACGGAGTGAAGGGATTTTGCACGTAGGACGGACGTGAATCTTGGGGAGGCCAGAGGATGGACAGCGGTGGACAGATGCTGACATCCCAACCCCCAAAGTCCTGTGAATGTGTGCCCTTACAGGGCAAGAGGCTGCAGACGTGACCATGGTAAGGATCCGAGACAGGAGGTGACCCTGGATTACCCGGGTGGGCCCAGTGTCATCACAGGTCCTTACAAGCGGTCCTTACAAGCGGGAGACAGACAGTCAAAGCAGAGCTTGGAAGGGGCCACAAGCCAAGGCGGGGGTGGGGGGGAGGGGAGGGGGGCTCTAGAAGCTGAAAAAGGCAAGGACGCGATTCCCCTCTGCAGCCTCCAGAAGGAAGCAGCCCCGTCACCCCTCCCAGGCCTTCCGGCCTCCAGCCTGTGAGGCGGTAACCGTGCGCCGTCCTAAGCCACGGCACGCGGCCCCGGGAAACCGGTGCTGACGCCTGTGAGGTGGACCTTCTCCACACCACCGATCAGGAACCTGACGGCCCGGGGAGGGAAGTTGCTCGCCCAGGGACAGGACGGGGGCAGCAGACGCAGGAGCCGCACCGTCCCCACCCACTCCCCGCCTGCTCTGCCAGGCTGCCTGACAGCCGGCGGCGGCACTGCCCACTGGAAACCACCCCCTCCGGAGACCACGCGGCTCTGGACCCCAGTGTGGCTTTGCCTGACCCGCACCAGCAGGACGGTCACGAGTCCTCACGGCGCCGGCAGCTCGCCCACGAGTTAAATCCCTGAGGCAGCGTGATTCCCCGAAGGGGCCAGGCCTAGGCCGGGCCTGCCGCCCACCACGCAGTGGCACGAGGACCCGTGACGGCCCCCCTCCACCCCGCCACACCCCAATCTGGCGGGGAACAGAGACGTTCCTTCTCGGGGGCACGCTCGCTCCCGAGAATGTGCGGGTCGAGCATCCGTGGCCGCCCCACCCGCCACAGGGAGCGCTCGGACGCGTGCGGGCCGCGTCCTGCCCCAGGAGAGCGCCTCACAACCCAGAGGGCTCTGGTGCGAGCGGTACCGTGCCCATCGATGGGAGCCACTCGGGGGACAGGCGGGCGGGGAGAGGCTGGCAGGGGCTGGACACAGCGAGGGACAACACGGCGGAAGGGACGGCGAGAGAACCTCAAAGGCAGAGGGGCTGGACAACAGCGACCGAGAGCCTCCTTCTTCTCAAGCCCTCCAGCCCTTCTGCAGCTTTCAGACTGCAGGGGTCCAATTCCGAACCATAAAACGAGGAAGGCGTTACGTGAAAACGAGACCAAGTTATCGGAAAAAATGCCTCCTAGTGTGCACGTGTGCGTCTGCAACAAAGAAAAACTTACAGGCGCCTAACTAAAAACTTAAAGGAGAGGCAGCTTTGAAGTTTCTGACAATTAAGGGGCGGCATGTGGTAATCATACACGTCTGCCACCATCCCAACTTCACCACGCGTGGTAAGAGCGTGCTATCAGGGCTTATTTAATTCCCGGCTCCAGCGCCCAGCGTTTCCTGCCCGCTGCATGTTAACTGCCTCAACCGCCCACTCACCCTTGACGGGCTCTTCAGAGCCCTAACCACTGATTTGAGGAGGAAACGTCCTTAGGTTTAAATAGAGCTTTACAATCTACAAAACGACACACGCGTTATTTCAGATTCGACTTCCTAGCCACCCGAGTCATGGCGCCCCCACACCCGTTTCACGGGCAAGAACGTGGGCCGCGGGACAGTGCGCTGATCCGCGTCAGGCCGCCCGGCTGGTAGGTGGCGGAGGGGGACCCGGGCCATCAGACGTCAGTCCAGCTACAGAGTTTTAGGAAGGAGCGAGTCCACACTCTCCGGCTCACCCCTCACAGCTCGCACCTTCTCCAGCGCAAAGACAGTTTGTAAAGTATCACAGAAACACCTGCCGACCCGAGCTCCAGAAGCAAGGGCTACAGAGCCGGCAGACGGCCTCCTTCACGGGGATTCCTTCTGTGTCCTCAACCTGCCACCCGAGGGGACAGCGCGTTCCCGAGGGTGACGGGTGGGAACAGACTGAGGGGGAGATGTGTGGACGGGGGCTGGGCCAAGGGCACGGGGGCCGCCAGCCTGACGGGGGAGGACAGGCCCGCAGTCGCCCAGCACTGGAGCAGCACGGCTGGAGCCGGGGCACATCGACCGTCTCGTGTCTGGTGGCAAGAGACTGGATCGTCTGTGTGGCTGAAGGCTAAGTTCCTGAGAGCACAGCCTTCGGCGCGAGTTCAAAACGCTTTCTACTGACCACTTTCTGCAGCAGATGCAGGAACGAGCCAGACACAGGGCCCCGCGCACGCAAGGGGGGCCTGGGCGCCGCCCGCACTCACGTCCAGCTGCCTGCGCGCCGCCTGCTGTTCCCGCTGCTGCCTCGCCATCCTCTGCGCCCGCTCCGCCTCCGCCTGCCGCCTGTCCTCGTGCTCCTTTTCCCTCGCCAGGTTTTCAAAATTCGCTCTGATGTCACTGGTTTTGCTGCTCACTGCAGAGAAAGGAGAGATTTACTCAGGGCACCACCATCTCCCCCGGACCGGGCCCGCGCCAGGGCGGCCTGTCCCTTGGGAAGCAGGCACCCCAGCTGAGGGCGACGCGCCCCCTCGGCTGCCGGCTCAGTCCCCCACCAGGAACGGCCTTCACCGTTGCGTGTGCTGTACCCACAGCGGGAAGATGGCATAGCCCTGCATCTGCAATGCTCTTACATTCCGAACACCACTGTTTTCTTTACCACCAGACACTCACAAGGAAAGAAAATCCCCCTAAGGATGCCCTTGATGAAACAGTAGAAAGTACTGATCGTGAGTAGATCTCAACCCTTTTAACATTTTGTGTGACAAAATGGGAGGGCGGAGCCCACTGCGACTGCCCCTGTGGACGTGCCGTGGGGCCTCCAGGGAAAACACGTGCAACTATCTGAGATGCAGGCCGAACTGATTTTTTCCTGGAACATCATTTTCCCGGAATGGACAAACTACGGTTACACCGTTTGGGTACGTGCCAGACCCCTTCTCCGAAAGGAACGAGCTGAGCCTATCCTGTTAAAAAACAACTACAGTATTTGTTGTCAGTAGGAAAACTCAAGCTTTCAAGCAAAATCAGAATTTTGGAAAATCCGTGTCCACTGCCGTGAGTATGACAATTTCCCGGTTTTACTCAGAGACTCCGCGACGAGGTTGATACCGTCACCGAACGTGACCTGGGGGACGCTGTATAATGAAAGGTGCCAGGGTGTGGAAGATCAGCGTGACTCAGTGATCGATACTCTCCAATGACCCTGACGTGATGTCACAAAGTCTTGCTGCGCAAGAGAGACCAACCTTTAAGAAAACCACTGGACAGCTGCCTGCTGGACTGGGGTACAGAGAATACGACCGGAAACGGCCAGTAGAATACTCTTCCCTTTTCCCACTGCTTATCTGGGAGTCCAGATTTTCTTCACCACCCTAACGTGTCACGAGAGACTGAAGGAGTGAGAAGCACCTAAGAGAGCTCAGCTGGCCAACACTGAGGAGATTCCACAGAAACGTAACACAACGCTACCCTGGAACCTAGCCAATATCGTATAATAACTGTAAACGGAGAATAATCTCTAAAACTTCTGAATCACTAGGTTGTACATCTGAAACTCATATTGTAAATCAACTAACTATACCTTAATGCAAAGAAATGCTACTCTTCTGCACTTTCTGGTTTTGAAAATGTAGTTATTTTTTTCATAAAAAGTATTATGCTAATAAGTGATAGTTTCACTGCTTTTAAATGTTTAAGTGCATTAATAAAATGGTAAATTCTTCTCGCCTCTATTTTAATTCTAACACAGTAAAGATCAGAAAACATAACCCATGTAAACAAAAGTTCTTTGGGGCCTCAGCAATTTCTGCCAGTGTCCTGAGACCAGAGTGTGTGGACTGTTGGCCCACAGGGCGTCCACAGGAAATAAAGGGTCGTCTCCACTTGCTGCGTTTAACTGACCACTTCTATCACGTGTAATAATTCCCCCAACTAAACGATGTCCTCCCAGGCTGGCCCATGTTTAACGGCTCCCCAGCAGACACCAGGACCGCAGGAGGCCCACGCACGCAGCAGGCACCGGAAGGGCGGGTTGCGAGCAGCCCGGTCCTCGCCCGTGAGTGAGGAAGGAGAGGGCTGCCTGAACTCATGCAGACGCGGTGACATGCTGCTCAGACATGCCACGGCCGGGGCAGCGGCAGGTTCCGCAGGAACCTCCCAGGGCCCTTGAGGACGTGCAGTTAACCTAGCTCTGCTTTGGGAAGCACCCCCCAAAACAGATCCCCGCCGCCAGAGAGCTGCAACGCCCGTGTCTGAAAGGTGCCTCTGAACCTCTGCAGGAATGAACAGCTTCAAACGGGTAATCAACTGCTGTCCCCAAAATACACAGATCAACCACGGTCTCCGTCAATGCTTCATCTGCTCCTGCCGACGCTCCTCTCCCCCTTTAGCACTGTCCTGGGGACACCACACAGCGTGGAATTTCTCCCAGGAAAAAACACGGTGCTGCCAGGGGGTCTGCTAGGACTTACCTGCTTCGACAGGGACAGTCTTCTGGTAAGTGGGGGCCACCGTGGCAACGTCCTCAAAGGTGGAAGCGTTCTACCAAGACAGGAAAGGGGAGATCAGGAACGTATTTTTCTTTCTTCCTTTCCTCTCCCTGCACAAAGGCCTGCCCCAGGTCTTCCAAAAGAACCAACCAGAGAGCCCAAAGATTTCATATCCACCTGTTCTGCACATTAACAGAGGAGTGAAAAGTGTGTTGATAACACGTTGGCTGGTGACCATACGGGTCACAGTCAGAGAAGAAACACACCTATGGGGAGTGGGGGGTGAATGGGCAGGGCCAGGATGTTTAGGGCAGTGAAACTACCGTGTAGGAATCGACAGTGGTAGATACGAGTCACTACACGCCTGTGCAAACCGGCAGAATGCACCATCCCGGGAGAGAACCCTAAAGCCGACCTCAGCGCTGGGTGCCTACGACGTAGGCTCAATGCAGGTTCACAGACCGTAACAAATGGACCACTGGGTGGGGGAGGGGAGGTAGGGAGTATACGGGAAATCTCTGCACCTTCCTCTCAGATTTGAGCAAATTGCTCAAAAAAGCAGAAAAACCAAAAACCCTACCACATGCCTCCACTTCACAACCATAAACCAAGCACGTGTTCCTCCCAAGCTCTCGCCACGGATAGAATTTGCAGGGGAGCCCAGAAGCCTCTGCTGCGCTGGGAGAGGACCCTGGGACGTACAAAGGCCCCCCGATCGTCCACCTCTCCCAGTAAGCGCGACTCTAGTTTGGTTCTGTAGGGACCCAACTCTGTGAGACTAAAAGGACAGCGACAACCGGCCACGTAAAGGCTGACACGGCGCGGACTGACAGCTCAGGGCAGCACTGGCCGCTGGGCACAAACGCTTCCCAGGGAAACACGCCAGGGGCTCAGGACGGTCACTGCCTTCTTGACACAGGAACCGTGAGAAAGGATGCGTGGAAGGAAGCCTGTGACCGGCTGACCCTGAGGCCGGCCGCGAGCAGCAGCTTTGGGAGGTGCGCACGGCCCGCACCAAGTTCAGGTGCAGGCAGCTCCACGAGGGCGGCAGTGATCCATGGGCTCTGGTCGGCACGCCTGGGGGCCGGCCCCGACCCTCCCGCCAAAGCCCCCTTCTCCTGCCTCCTCCAACTCCGAGGTAGCTGCTCGGCTGCCCAGACCACCCCCCTCCTCTGCTCCCCAAACCTCCCCATCTCTTTCCAGAACAACCTCTAAGGCCCCGCCCCCACCGGCTCTCCCACAAGGCTCCTGCCTGCCCTGCGGCCTCGGTGGGGAAGGGGTCAGCGCCCCCCCAGCTTCCGGGCCGTGGCTCCCGCACACCCGCTGCCCGTCCCGTCCGACCAACTCTCCAGCACGATGCTCAGAGCCACCTCTCTGCCTTCGCCCACAGGCTTCTGGCAAACACCACGACCCCAAGCCTCTAGTTTCCAGCTGCGGGGTCCCCACCACACTGCACCCCCATCACCAAGACCCGCCCACCGACTACAGCCTTCCCCTCTCCTGCTGGCCACCCTCCTCCACCTAGACCCAGCTCCCCGCTCCCCACCGTCCAGCCTGACCGACTCAAGGTCTCGGCCTCTCCTGGGGCTCACCTGCCGGAAACCTCACACCTGCTTCCACCACCCACGGGGACTACGTCAGACCTGAGTCCCTGCGCCGCCTATCCCCAGGGATGATCTCATGCTGCCGCCAAGGCTGAGACCTGGGCAGGTGCCTCACCCTTCTAAGCACCGGGCTTCCCAAGTGCACAGCACAGACCACTAGCTGGCCGCAGGGGCACCCCGCGCACCCCCGCCACGCCCCAGGGTCTCCCTGCACCTCCCTGTCTATGGCCTGGGCTCCTCCCACCTTAAAACAGAACCATCCCCTCGGCTGACCAGTGCCCAGTTCTCCCCGATCATGGCCCAAACGTGGTTGGCACGGCTCCCTCCCTCCCACAGCCCAGACCCCTGCCAGATGCCAAGTGCCACCACCTGGCTCGCCCAGACAGGATGTCCCCAGCAGCGCCTCGGGGCAGAGACGGCCCCTCCCCCCCCTCACAACTCTCCACCCTCAGACCAGCACCAGTGGACCCTGTGGGCTCCCCGCACCTCACCAGGTGCCCTGCCCAGTCTCCTCAGACCAGCCTGCCCACTGCCATCCCACAGGCGTGGCCCATGGCCCCCTCGCCGCTCTGCAGGCTCCCCAACTCCACCTCCGTCTGCAGGCACCCCCCCACCCCCTCCATCCGAACTACCTGCGCCGCCTGGCAGCCCAACCAGACGTGCCCACGGGGAACTCATCCCACCCAGCCCTGCCCCTCCCCCAAGTTCCTGAGCTCAGCAGACAGCCCCACCATCCACCCGGGAGGCCCTCCCCCTCACCCCTTAAGCGCAGGGGCTTCAGCACCCACGCTGCCTCAAGGAAGCATCTCTCTCCCTCCACTGCCATCCCCAGGCCGAGCCAGAAGCACCCCGATCAAGGCGCTGAAGCCGCCTCCTAACCGGGGCCACAGCCTTGCGGCTTCCCGCGCGATCCACTCTCCACCCCGGGGCAGGGAGGCTGCTTGGTGCACGTCCTATTCACGTCATTTGCCTGTCAAACCCTTGCAGGGCCGCTCAGAACCCATCTGACGAAACACAAAACCTCACCGGGGGTCCGCAGGGCTCCCTGAAGTGGGTCGTGACCAGCCACTCACCACCTGCCCCCCTGCAGCGGGCCCCGTCTGGCTTCTCTCAGACCTCCTGTATCTGCCACAACACCGACCGCAGGCCCGCCAGGTCCTCGGTGTCCCCGTCCCCACGTCCACACACACACTGGCCTCGTCCTCCCTGGCGAGCTCCCACCATCCGCAGCGCCGAGCTCAGACTCGCACGCCCTCAGGACACTCCCGGCCCCGCGGCCAGAGCCCTGTGCCCTGCCGCTCGCTCCCAGGGCCCACACGCGGTCACGTGATGGGGTCCCCCGAGGGGTCAGCTGGGAGCCTGATGGAAGGGGAACTCCACAGGGACCGGCCCTGGCGCCCAGACTACCGACCGGGCAGGGCAGCCTCAACCTCGGTCCAGCTGAACCGACGGGAGACAGACCACGCCCAGTCCCCAGCGAGGACCGCTCCACGCGGCTCGTGGGTCTGCTCCTCTGACGCGGTTGGAATTTAGACCAGAAACCCAACCACCTGACGCGCTGAGACTCTGAAACCAAGCAGGAGGGACCAGCTGGACTAGGGCACCACAGGGAGAGCAGAGCGTGGAGCCGCGCGGCCGTGTCACCCTGCCTCTGGGGACCCCCTGCGGCGACGTGCACCTTCCGGATCCGCCTTCCCCAAGACGGCAGGCCCCGCGACGCGGCCAGCGTGACCAAAGAGCTCGGTTTCCAGATGGGTTCACTGCCAAGTACGGTCACAGCCACGTGTCTGGGAGGCGTTCGCGACGGTGGCCCTGTGCTGCGCCTGCCTGGCCAGGGACCCCGCCCCCCCCCATACGTGACAGGGACAGCAACTGCCTCACAGCGTGACCTCGAGGGGTCGAGGAGAGGACACCCGTGACACAGGAGACGAAGCCCGGCACGTGTGCCAGCTAATGGCACCGCCACGGTGATGACACACGCCTGCCTGAAACGTTCACACTTCTGCAAACACGCGCCAGGCACCCACCAGAGACCAGAGACCACCCAGGGAACAGCCATCTGCCCGCCCAGAGCGTCAGACGCCCGATCCTCTCAGCAGAAAACCCCGAGCCCTGGACGTGAAGCACTCACCTTATCCATCCGGTCCTTCTGCACCCCGTACTTCCCACCGAAGCCTCTGGAGTAGTCTGCAACGTGACAGCACGGCATTTAGTCTCGGGCTGAGGTCCGCCAGCTGCCGGCAGCAGGCGCATGCAAACAGGTCCAGAAACAGCCCGAGAAAATGCACCCAGAGCGACAGAACGAGAACGTGGAACGATGAGCCTCTGCTTGCGAGTTGGGCTTCTACCCGTGGTGCTCGGCAGCAGGCAGGTGAGAGGCAGGAAAGAGGTGTGGCATGCTCCCCGCGTGCTCCCGGGGGACAGGGGTGCGGGTGGCAGGCAGGGCGCCACCTCCTAGCACAGTCTCTGCTCTGCGCTCCTGCTCTACTGAGTGCTAAAAAGAGGCTCAAGTGCAGGGATTCTCTCGTTTTACTTATTTTTTTTCTCTTGCTTTTTTAAAAGAGAAAAAGTTTCCCGGAACTTCTACCAGCCAAATACTTATGTTGCAGCAACACAGATCTACGTGACAGTCACACTGCCGTGCAGTATCAACGCCACGCCCACGCGGTCTGCCGGGTCAGCCCGAGGTGATTCTCTCCCTGAACGCTGGGGCTGAGCGCCTAAACTCAGCCCCGTAAAATGAGGACACGACTCTTTGCCAACTGTGTGTCCCGGTTCTAATGATCAAGCCTGAATTTTGACAGACATTAGATAACTGCTCTGAGCAAAAGCACGTTTGCCATCTGGACTCCCAATATATGCACCCAGAAACCTCCTGTCGAGTTCCAGCTTTGCGTACGTACTGTCTGGTTCTGTGTGAAGGAGTCACACAGAGATGGTGTCATCAAAAAAACTAGCAAAAACCAAAAAAACACAAATGAGACACAGAAACCACGTGGACACGCCTGCCCCACGCCCCTGGTCCAAGGCCAGTGATCGGGCTGAACCAGACACGTTTCTCCCGGTCTCGGAGGCAGGGAGGCGGCCTACGCGACACTCACAGGAGTCCCGGCAACAGCAAGCACTGCTGCGGAAGGCCGCCGGGAGACCAGAGACAGCCCACCCCAGGAGCGAGGCGCGTCACGGGGTTAGAGTGACCTGCACCTCGCGCCACCTTTGACCAGACACACACCCCAGCGGTTACGGGAGAGAAAAAAGTCAACAGGGAAGAAAGGGTGCGAGTGAATTCCGCTCCGGCACAGCACTGGGCTGGAAGTGCCCAGGGGCCCCTGCAGGTGACAGCGGGTGACTCGGAGGCTGAGCCCTGAAGTCTGTGCTAGAAGTGGCGGCACTGGGCGGGGCTGGGGGGAGCCGGGGAGCAACTGTGCCTTGCTGGGACTCGTGCTTGGCCAGTCTCTCCTTGTAATCAAAGCCCACAGCACAGGGGTCCTGCCTCTCGGACTGAACACCAAATCTGCCTCCGAAACCAGTCTTATAATCTGAAAATCCACAGGTGACAGTGGAGAAAACAACCGAAAGGAAACACAAGTTTGGTTAGACTCAAACACGTCGCCTGGAGGAAACAAGGGCTGCGCCGAGCTCGGGGACGACAGAGCCAGCTCCCAGTCTCACCAATAGTCTCACAAAGGGCTCAAAAGGTTAAAGGACAGACAACGTCTGAACACGCGGCCCAGGCCCGAAAGCAGGTTAGCAACTGTATTTGAGCCGATTCGGAAAGGCCGCTCCGTGCTCCGGGACTCTCTGCAGGGCCCCACCCACGCTGCAGACAAGAGCACGCGTCTCTGCTCACTTGAAGAAAGAGACACGTTACACACACGGCCCACCCCACAGCCACGCGGCAGCCCCGCTCCCCACCGCGCTGGCTGCAAGCCCAGGGCCCCGGCGGCCACGCTCCCAGGGACGGGGCGCCTCTCGGGCTGGGACCACCGCGCCGCCCCTGTGGCCGCCCGGAGCGGCAGGCAGCAGCCCCTCAGGAACCCTGCTGCAGCGGCTGGGGCTTCAGGGCCCAGGCGAGCACAGGTGCCCTGCCCCGCCCAACCGCAGCCCCCCCAAGGGGGAAGGGGGAATCACTACGGGCGGAGGGGTCCTTCCAAAGCCGTGGGGACAGAGGACGCCTCCCCCACTGAAGACAGGACAGCACCGCGACACAAGTACCGTGAGGCCAGGCACACGTGGACCTGTAAACAGAAATGAACTTCTCGAAGGGCCTCGCGGGCGAGCAGCCAGCATGAACGTACCTTTTTGGGATTCGTGCAGATGCAGCTTCTCCTGGTGATCCCAGCCAAGGGCACACTTGTCCTGTCTGTCTGTCTGCACACCGAACTTCCCTCCAAAGCCTTTCACGTAGTCTGCATAGACAATAAAAGGCCATAATCGAGTATTAATGGGCAGCCTGCGTAACAGGGAGAAAGCAGGTTTTCCGTGAAGTTCAACATACACAATTCACTAAACCATCCTTTCTCTTCCTGACCTTTGGTGAAATTTCAGATGACATTAAGAGGACCGCCTCGTAGTGTGTCAGGAAAATAACCTCATCTACCATCTCCGCACCATGGGTTAACACTGACGGGACCCCCTACAGGAACCCGCGAAGCATGCAGCGTCACAGCACTGACGCGCCACTGGGTCTCACCACTTACACAGACGTGCGACACGTGGCCCCTGCTACAAGCCACGCCACTGCAGTGTTCAAGCTAAAAGAGGTCTAAGGACCGGATTTCTTAGTTAACGGCTCTGTTTTTGGATTTTCTGTTTTACAGTTCAATGTTTAACAGAAAGAGACATCCACCCTAAGTGTTCCCGGTTACGTTCTGTGTTTCCATTTCTGTTCTGGTTATCACCTATCACGTTAATAGCTGCTAGCTGGACAATAAGGTAAAGCTGAAGCCACCTTTCTGGGACTCGTGCTTCTCGGTTTTGCCTTGATACTCAAAGCCGACCGCGCTCTTATCCACCTTGTCCTTGTCGATACCATACTTGCCACCAAAACCTTTGGAGTAATCTGAAAACAAGAAGAGTACTGTTCATAAACCAGTCACAAGATCAGCGAGCACGCTGTGGATTTCAGCAGTCTTTAAGGAAGTATTTTGATCACTCAATTTAAAAAAACAAACCTAAAGTCTCCGAGGCTCACTCTAAGATCACTTACGTAGGAAACATTTAAGAGTATTATTTGTATATAATGATGGAACTATGAAGTGCAGCAAATAGAGCAGACGAACAACTGCAGCGCCTCTCCTTCACCCCAAAAGACAGCATGAGGTAACAGGTGACATCAAGTTTCTGAACTCAGGATGAGCCACCGGGGAAGCTCTTGGAGGGTCACCCTACCTCTGAACCAAAGCCAGCAGAGCTGTGCCGGGGACACCGCCAAAGGAACAGGATAAACACGGACTACCTTCCAGAAATGTCAGTTCAACTCAAAGCTAAGTTATTATTACACTAAATCGCTATCTTTACACTAAGGCATGACTCCATCACGGACACATTAACGGAGTAGAACGTGCACAGAGATCAAATCCCTTCCCAGCACGCCTAGGGCTGCTCCCGGCACTTCGGCCTCTGCTCCCCGACTGCCCAAAGGCGTATTTATTCTTCTTCAAGGGCATCTCGGGGAGAAAATCTGGTAAAAATGAACAGGATCCAACAGCAGGTGCTGACTGGCAGCAGGCATACAGTGCAAAGGAGTACAGGTGTGTGCCTAGCAGAGAGAGAAGGCAGAGTTTAAAGGAACCCCACGCAGCAGGCCCAGCAGCCTCAGGGCAGGCAGGCCCTGCCAGGTGTAAGGGAAGCACCGCCCTCATCAAACAGGAGCCCCTCAGGCCCAACGGCCATCCCCCTGGGGAAATGCCAAGCCAGTGGGGTTTCCGGTGATGGCTTTCATTTTTGTTTCTTAAAAAAATCTGGGGTTTTAAAAAGTACGTGAGCTCCCAGTTTGTACGCTGGCCAATGTTCAGATCATTTAAATGTGCCAAACAAAACTAACGATGCAGAACCACCAACAGATCAGGAGCGCTGCAGCGGGGGCTGAATCTTTAAGCCAAGCTCCATAAACACACCCTCAGAGGGCAGAGGGCCGTAACTGCTCACTCACATCACAGCGAAGGGAAAGTCAGGATGGCTTCTAAGGACAATCTAGAAGGCTCTATCAAAATTTTAAATTCAACGTCTTTTGGCCCAGCAACTCCGTTGCTAGGAATTTATTCTTTTAAATAATCACTTATGTATATAACAGAATATTCCCTGCAATTTTTTTTTTTTTAAACGAATTTACTTATTTTATTTTCGGGTCTTGGGGTTTACTTCGGGCTGGGTCTGTTGCTGCGCGCGGGCTTTCTCTAGCTGCGGCGAGCGGGGGCTGCTCTTGGTTGCGGTGCGCGGGCTTCTCCTTGCAGTGGCTTCTCTTGTTGCAGAGCACGGGCTCGAGGCGTGTGGGCTCAGTAGTTGTGCCTCGTGGGCTCTAGAGCGCAGGCTCAGTAGCTGTAGCGCGTAGGTTTAGCTGCTCCGCGGCATGTGGGATCTTCCCGGACCAGGGCTCGAACCCGTGTCCCCTGCACTGGCAGGCAGGTTCTTAACCACTCCACCAGGGAAGTCCCTGTAGGCAATTTTTAACATCAAAACTTGGAAATAACCTAAATTCCACATTCCAGAGAGGAACAGTTAACCTGACCACGGAACAGAGGACTCAGCAGTCATCAAAATTACGACAAACCGTGACTTCCTTGGTGGTCCAGTGGTAAAGAACCTGCCTTACAACACAGGGGACGTGGGTTCAACCCCTGGTCAGTGAGCTAAGATCCCACATGCCGGGGGTCAACTAAGCTCACGTGCCTCAACTAGAGAGTCCTTGTGCCGCAAACTTCAGAGCCCACGTGCCCTGGAGCCTGCGCGCCACATCTAGAGAAGAGAAAACCCAAACGCCACAACTGGAGAGAAGCCCACGCACCACAACGAAGAGCTCACGTGCCACAACTAAGACCTGACGCAGCCAAAAATAAACAAAATGGATAAATAAATAAATCTTTAAAGAAAAAGAAATAAGACAAACCACCTACACCGTCCAGAAAGTAACAGGGACATCCAAACACTTGAAGTTAGAAAAATTATATAAATATAACATAAACCGATTTGCATCAGGGAGAAGTCCCCTGGGTGTGTGTCGGTGAATGCATGAGAAACAACGGGGCCCGGGGTGCCTGACGGTCAGCAGGGCGCCGCTGCAGCCCACCTCTCTGCGACTCGTGCTTCTCCGTCTTGCTCTGATAGTCGAAGCCCACGGCGCTCTTGTCCACGCGGTCAGACTGCACGCCGTACTTGCCACCGAAACCGCTCGAGTAGTCTGGGGAGACAGGGCAGCGGTCAGGAAAGTGTGTCAGGCCAAGTGCCACCTTGGTCAGACGAAGCAAGACTCACCAGGAGGTCAAGCACGCATCTTAAAATGTACAACAAGCTACCCGCTGCCACACACGGGTGACGCTGGACGCGTCTATGCGCCTCTGCAGTCTGGTCCCCTTCGACTACTGAAGGGCAGAGGTGAGCTGCAGGCCCACTTTGGGAAGTAACCGTTCAAATAAAGGTCAGTGTATAAAGACAGCTAGGCAGCTGCATGGGTCTTTCTAGAAAAGACACGACCCCTCCAACACATCGAGCCAGGAGGGCTGGGTGGACCGGCGGGGCCTAGAGCACTCCCAGGCCGAGCTACTTCCCTGGGTCATCGGATGACCCACAAGAGGCAGAAGTAAACAAGCTTGCAAAAACCACCTCAAGGTGGCTTCCCTGGTGGTGCAGTGGTTGAGAGTCCGCCTGCCGATGCAGGGGACACGGGTTCATGCCCCAGTCCAGGAAGATCCCACGTGCCGCGGAGCAGCTGGGCCCATGAGCCACAGCCGCTGAGCCTGCACGTCCGGAGGCTGTGCTCCGCAACGGGAGAGGCCACAACAGTGAGAGGCCCGCGTACCGCAAAAAAAAAAACCTCAAAGGACTTCCCTGGCGGTCCAGTGTTTAAGACTCCACGCGTCCACTGCAGGGGGCACAGGTTTGATCCCTGGTCAGGGAACGAGGATCCCATAGGCTTTCATTTACAGAAAGGCTTTACCAGGGAGCACTACCTCATAAAGATTAGCCTACGCCATGTCAAAAGACGCACGTACACGCTGAAAATGTCAGTAATTTAACGGCTGTTTCCATCCTCTGGGGAGAGTTAGTTTTGCCAACCAAGTTAGAGAGGGAACTGTTCGGGGGCAACGCTGCACGGATGAGGGGAAGCAGCTTCTGCTGCCACACGGGAGGTGGCACAGGGACACGAGATGCCAGCACTTCATGGGCTGCGTGGCAGGGACCCCACTGTCACACCACACCCGGAAGACCAGACACCTGAAGGCGACAGCAGCGAACTGCCCGTGGCAACACCCCTGCCCCCAGGAAGAGGCCTCGAGTGACAACGTGCTCCTGCCCTTCAAAAGCAGGCGGGGCTGCCTTCCCATCACCGGGGTCTTTCACATCTCACCTTTCTGCGAGGCGTGTTTCTCAGTTTTCCCCTGGTACTCAAAGCCCACAGCAGACTGCAGTCACAGAGAAAAGGGAAATGCAGTTTTAAATGCCTGGATCCACGATGCATAGGACACTTTAAAAAACATGAACCGTGTTACCTTTTGATCTTTGATTTCTCAAAGCCCTGCTGTTTTGAATTCGTAACCCATAAAATGCTCACAGAAGCGGGGGCGGGGGGGGGGGCGCTGCCCAGGCCAAGCTGCAAGCATAGCGGCCTGTCCCTCCCTGCCTCCCCCCGGTGGCCGACCCCCCCACAGGACACCGACCTGGGCCGACTCCCATCAGCCCGCTTCTCAGATGGGCTCCCCAAGAGCCACACGAACGCAGGAACAAGGCCCGGCGCTGAGGTGGGCACCACGCACGCAGCCCGGGGGAAGGGCGAACGTGGGACCGTGGCCACACACAGCCAGGCCTAACCCCCAAGCCCAGGCTCGCAACGCTACGACATAAAACAAAGGGGCTGACGGCCCTGAGCCAGGGACTCGAGAACAGCGGGGCAGCATCCGGACGCTCAGCACAGCGCGGGAGGCGGGAGGCACTCTGCCAGTCCGCTCTGAACACCCTTGGGGGATCCCTGTCACAGTGACATCCAGGCAGGGACAGTGGGTGTAAACAGTCCCCGCTGGCATCCTTGGACGAATCTAAGGCTGTCCCGGGGTCATCCGATGAGTAGATACCAACATGGGGGTTTCTACAGCAATCAGTAAAAAAAACCCTTACACTTGACTGTTCTTCTGTTTGTCTGTTTGGCCACACGGCCTGTGGGATCCTAGTTCCCCGACCAGGGATCGAACCCGGGCCCCTGGCAGTGAGAGTACGGAGTCCTAACCACTGCACCGCCCGGGGAAGTCCCTGTTCTCGCCTCTTAAAGGGCCAATCATCTCAAAGCAACTGGAAAGGCGGGCCCTGTGAGCCCTGTGGTCAGGACACCCACCCTGCAGTCCCACGGAGTCAAGAGGCCCGGAGCACACACACCTGGCGGTGGGCTCTGACCTACGAGGACTGGCTCCTTGCCCTCCCCGGGCGCCAGCTGCCCAGGATGCTTCACTCACCTGGTCAACTCTGTCCACCTGGACGCCAAACTTGCCTCCAAACCCCCGGACGGAGTCGACCTGCGAGCAGTGCTTGGAAAGCTTCGACTGATACTCGTGGCCGACAGCTGACTGGAACAGGTTGCAAAAATAAAAGCGTCAGACACCCGCCGGTATCACCACAGTGCCCACCCCCCATGCGGGGTCTAAGGGGGCAGCCCGCACCTGTGGTCAGCGTGGGTGACCCTAATTGAAACCACTCAACGTGGAAGTCAGCCTGGGGGAAGGTGCCTCCCGGGGGGCATCGCAAGCCATGGCCACTGGTCAGGTGTTCCCCAAACTCTCTCCGTTACCGGCCTCCCCGGAGACTGCCCAAGAAGCCCGGCCACAAGGGGGGGCTTCTCACATGACTGGGCATGAAGAGCCAGGAGGCCAGGCCCCATCCGGAAACCGCAGAGCCAGCAGCCTGCAACATGACTCCTGAGACCCAGTTCCGGGAAGACCGCTGGCAACCATCACCCTACTCCAACAGGACATTTTCACACCACAGGACCCAGGAATCAGGACACAACATGCATTTTGCTAACAAATGCAGACACAGACAGGTGCGCTGGAGTCACGCCTCGCGTTCAGAGTCAAGAGCCACTGTGCGCCCAGCCTGTCCGGGAGCGGAGTGGGCCCGTCAGCACATCACCAGCCCCACGGACGGGCAGGAAGGGAGTTTGGTGCCATCCTCTCAAGGTCACGTGCCGAACAAGCAGTCCACCCCAGGGTTCCCGCGGCGCTTCCCACGTGCGCTCAGCAGACCACGGCCCAGGGCCCACGCCCGGCACTGAGGCTTTTTGCAAATAAAGCTTTTGGGAGCACACCACCTCCACGCACTTGCAAAACGTCTACGGCTGCCTCTGTGTCTCGACAACGCAGCTAGTTCGGGAGCTGCCTGAGACCCCATGGCGGCCGCGAGGCTGAAAACACTCCCCGAATTCTGAGTGGCCCCCGTCCTACTCCAGCCTCCCAGGCCCCTGACCCTCAGTGCTCGGCACCAGGGTCCCAGGCTCCCTCAGCAGGATGGACAGTGGTCACGGACCCCTTGACGGACATCGAGGACACAGGACGCGTGCCTGCCACGTGACCCAGCGCGGGGCGAGAAGGCACACCCAAACCCCGGTTAACTATGACTCCAGTGAGCCACCCCGCCTCGGGCCCTCCTGCAGTGAGGGACCCGCTAGCGCACTGTGGACCCCCTTCCTGTTCATCTACAACTTCAGCAGCTGGGTTTGGGATCCAACCACTGCGGAGTCACCGCCACAACTGAGAACTCTGCAGGCCACTCGGAGCGTGCATTCTTTCCACAGCCCAGGGAGCAAAGTAGATTCTACTTTAAAGTTTGGAGCTGTTACTTTCTCTCCTTTCCGGGTTGGTTCCGATGCCTGTAGCTAACAGCAGATCCACGGCACCGCAGCCTCGGAAAACCTCTGCGGCAGAGACCACCCACCCGCAGCTTCTGGGTCTCACCCAGAGAACGTCAGCAGAGTACCACGGAGGCAGCAGCACGCAGAGAGGATCCCCAACTTGATTCTTCATCACAAAGAAGTTCTAAGGACACTGCTCTGAAAATATGGCCAGTGACAGCTTATTAATTTTTCCAACTTTTTGATCAAAACAGATTTATCCCTCAAATTGCCCTTGACCTTACGTTGACAAGACAGTATTTATTATCGAACAGTCAGCACCGGGCAGAGCGCTGCCAAAAGCAGGAATGTACACTGGTCCCGACATGTGCCTGGCGAGGAACAAAACCTGCATCGTGGACCACGGCCCCCGTGAGCCCCGAAAGAGGCGTGGGAGATGCTCAGACCACAGCGCACATGGGATCCCGATGGCTGCTGCACCTTCCCAGTCCACAATCCTCTCACAAGTAGGAGCCTGCCCAAGATGTGTTTTTTTCTGGAAGTCTCTATCACACATTCTCAACACGCAGATCTCAGGGCTCTTTTTCAACGTCTGGAAAGGACAAGTTACAAACAGCTTCAGGGTCACTTGTTCCGGTTTGGAACCTTAGTGATTTCTGATGACAGGTTGGTCCAGTGGCGCTCCCGTGAGCTGCAGGGGAGGAAGCACCCACCGACCGCGGCGCCCCCCGCTGGGTCCACCTGAGGGGAACCGCCGGCTGGAGTGAGAGCTCGGTTCCCTGAGCCGCCCGGGTGCCGTCAACACGTGGCTCCAGGCGCTCACACACCGTCCGCTGAGCGCCTTCACGGTGCCAGGCCCAGCACGAGGCGAGCACAGCTTGTCCAGGCCTCGACAGGAAGGACAGCACAACGCAGGAGTGACGCTGACAGAGGGCAGCACAAAGCACGGGGAGAGGCAGCTGCGGGCCGACAGGAAGCCTGCAGGAGCCGAGGGGCCTGGGCCGCGGGTGCCGGGGGGATGAGGCTCAGCCCGCACAGGGCAGTCCGGCAGCAGCCCCGACAACTGTCTCACTGTCCTCATCCAGGGCTTCCTGGTGCATCTGCAACGTTCTCCCCAGCAGGTTTTTCCGACCCAGAGCTGGGGACCCAGATTATACTGAACGTCTCTTTGCTTTCACTCCCCGTAACCCTGAGAGCCTGGACTCTGTTAGGTGGGAAAGGCTTCTACCTACATGATGCTTTCATTGCCCGAAAAACATGGGGATTTTGCCCGTCTGTGCTCCTAAAAGCCACCACACTTTCTAGGATCCAAAGATGGTTTCTGCTCCCCACGCCCCTGTGTGCTGTCCAGACGTCTCTGGGAGTGACGGGGTCACTGGGGGCGTCCCTGTCTCTTTCCTGCAGCCTGCCCTTCATAGACTCCGTCTCCAGGCTCATTTCAGACCTGGCCTGGGGTGCCCACAGGTCCCCATGTATCCACTCTGTGGTGACACAGCCCAGATGGCATACTGTGACACAGCCGCGTCATTCCAGGCCCAGCTCAGATGCCGAGTCCGATCCAGGCACAAGGGGGACAGGGGTGGAATTACAGCCCAGAATCCAACCCAGTTGATACCTCTGCACAGAATAAAGGCAGACATCTCGCATTACCAGCCTGGGAAAAACCTACCTCTCTGGGGACGTCTAAAGACTGCAGACCTGCTTCACTGCAAACGCGCTACGGTCTACCATCCTCTCTGCAGGGCGGACACCAGCCCCGCCAGCTGATCCAGTCCCTTCTCTAGTGCCAGCAAAGGCTGCTGCACTGTTAACAGCTACAGTCTCCACCTACTTGGACTTGCCTGCCCCCAGCCTGGTGGGCAGTGGCATGACGCCGGGGGCCAGGGTCCTCTCTGAAGTTCACTAAATGTGGGAAGGACGACAGCACGCCTGGCGGCTGAATTTCCACCCTTGACGTGAACCAAGGCCCGCAGACTCGGCTCCGGTCTGCAGATGGGTAGCATTCAGGCTGCAGGCTGAACCGCCGTCAGGCCGCTTCCAGGCCTCCATCCTGGTCACAGAGCGGCCTCTGGCAGAAACTGATCTCCCGCTCCGGGGCTCCCGACACACCACCCACTCCCCAGCAACTCAGCATCTTAAAAGACCTTCCAAAAACGGGAGCCCTTCGCGGGTAAGGTCAATGGAGAGAGGATTACTTCTGGCAAATCCGTCCTCAACAAGTAGACTCCCAACTTTTCATCTACGGGGGAGGCTCCTGAGTGACCACTGTGCCGACCATGGTGAGGTCAGGCACGCCAGGACCCACCGCGACGTGGCCGGGCACTTACTCTGTCCATTCTGTCCTGCTCCACACCAAACTTCCCTCCGTAGCCGTGCGAGGCTCTGGGTCCCGTTTCGAGCTCCTTCTCCTTGAGGGTCTGGTGTTCTTGAAACACATTCTCCCTCAGCTTGTGTATGCTTGGGGGGAAGAGAACAAACAGGAAGAAACCGGTCAGACAGACGTGCGTCCTTGTTTTCCAGTGGGACAGACGAGGACAGGACGTGTCATCTCGGCAGACCTGCAAGGTTTCCCTACTCCCCAGTCCGTCTCCCTTGTGGTCGCTTTACTGTCCCACCAGCTGGTCCCCCAACTTCGGCAGTTCTCAGATGCAAGTTAACAGAAAAAAGAAACTAATCTGAATTCACACAGTGAGTCATCCCAACGCCCCCCCCCCCCAACACACACACAGAGCTGTGCTGAAACGTGGACTTTCTCCCGTAAGGGGAAAAGCTCCTCAGGGTTTATCAGACACCTGACTTGGGAGAGCTAGTTCTGTAAACGTCCCCAGAGGCAGAGGGGAAAAGCAGAGTCAACAGCCCCACACCCCAGGCAGCCCTAGGACAGAAGCCCAGACACACAAAACACTTAGACGGTTGCTCTTTCCTTGGAGCACTCCAGCTTTTCATTCAAAGGTGAAGTGAGGGGTTTGCAGAATTTACAATGTGAGCGCCACTTTTACTTTAAACACTGGGAACAGTGGGACAGATCACAAGATGTGGCCAAAACCGGGCAGGCCAGGAAGTGTCTGCAGCTGTCTCCGTCGGGAGACCCACAGCAACACGACGGCCACCTGATCCGGTTCCTCTCTGCCCAAGGGACAACATGTCCACACCTCAACATCTGGACAACAATCCCAGAAGTTCGGCTACAAAACCAACCAGGCCTGGCCACCTCCCGACCCCCTGACGAGCACAGGAGGAAGACCAGCCTCCCAAGAACACGGAAGGACCAACAGCCGTCCTGTCCCTGTGTGCTCTCTGAGCTCTACCCACCCAGAGGCTGCCTGATGAGAGAGCTCCTTTCTCCTCCAACCTGCCCTCCCCAACATGTTCTGATGCCACAGGGAACAGAAGAGATGAGGCCCAGATGGCATCAAGTCAGAAGGCAGCCTAACCCCACAGCGGGCGACCCGAGTCAGCCCCTGGCACCACCTCCTCCGGCCGGTCCCAGGCCCTTCTTCAGGGGCTTGTGGGGAGAGGGTGGGCTCAGCGACTCAGGGCGGGAGGAACACTGGTGTCTAAAACGCCTGAGCTGCAGACTTCACCTCCTTTTCGGGACGATCTACTGAGTCTCTCTCAAGAACAGCTTCATTTTACTGCAAAGATCCCAGGGCCAAGCAAGACCAGCTCTCTGCCAGTGACCAAAGCGGGTCAGCAGTCCATGAGGACACCTTCACAACCAGGGCATGGGAGCACACACTCTGAAGCTGGCACAGACTGAGCACATTCTAAAAGGTCCCTTTATCTACACCTCCCGACAGGAAAACAAGCTGCCCCAGAGGTGGCCAGTTGCGACAGTGCCGAGTCAGACAATGACACGCTTCAAGCAGCTCTCCTATTTGAGGTTTTTAAGAGAACACAATGCTGAGAATTCAGCTCGTGGCATCCAACTGATCACGATAAAATAATAAAAGTATAACAAAAAAATTAAAGAAGGGTGTTTATGGTCTAAGGTATTCAAAGACATCCACACTTTAGAAACCTCCCATCAGCAGAGAGAAGAGCTTAGGTAACTGTGTTCCTCGATGAAAACCACAATATTGAAAAACAGACTCTAGAATTGGAAGCACGGAAGTCACTTGCCATGGGAATTTTTAAGTTACCGAGCACGTCCGTATACATACACGTACACAAACACGCAGATGTACACATCAGGTCTTACATTCACCTACTGTATAAATATCGAGTCACAGCATGCAGCGACAAAGACCCACTGCAGCCAAAACATACACACACACATACATACATACACATACATACATACATACATACAAAGAACAATGCTGCAAAAAATAAAAAACAAAATAAAATAAAAAATCGAGTCACAAAACAAAACAAAAGCAATTCCACCATATGAAGCCATGACCTTATCTCTTATCCCTGCCTTATCTTCATCTTTCAGAACATCACTGTCACACAAATACCGAGAAAGTCTCTTACTTGATGTGCTCCTGGTGACCAGACCCCTGGACGGTTTTGGCCCCCCATCGCTGCTCTTTTTCACTTACGTCATTCTGAAAAGAAAAATAAATGACGAGTGCACCCCACAGCCTGGATTGTAAGACAACCACCCACCCGCCCACCCAAACCCAAACCCTGGGGAAATCCACTCCGGGAGACGTGAAAGGCAGGCAGACTGGTGACTTGTACCACGAAATCAGGGTCGGTTTCCCAGTCGTCGGCTCCCGCGTCGTCCTGGGTGATGGACACGGTGTGGCCGGCCGAGGCTTTCCACATCTGGAAAAGCAGCCCCGCAGTTACAGAGGCCCGGGAGAACCCTGCGCAGAGGCCGACGCAGACACCTTTGCCTGTGACCCCAAAACCCTAGAGGGCACAGAGCAGGCTGGGGGGCTATAAGCTCAAATAGTCACTCATAATCCCTGAGTGACACCCGTAGGAACAGAAGAAACGCAACATTTTTTAGCTCTAATACTGCTGTCGACCGGCATCAGAAACAAATAAGAAATGCTCCTGGCTTCAACTCAAGTGAGGAAATTTTCTGGAAAATAAAAAAGTCACATGTGCACTTACTTCACTCATTGGGAATATCTTCCTCTCCCACTAGGTCTCATGACGACGATACTGTCCAACACTGGGAGCGCACCGAATGTCACCAATGGTAAATTTTGTTGTATTTTACCACAATTTTTTTGAAAAGCACCCGTCTTAACTTCAAAGTGGAAATTTGGAAATTACTGGAAACCTAATAATGATTTTCTTAACTCGGACTCTGACAAGTCAAATATTTCAAGCGTTGCTTTGCCATCTACTTGGGAAAATAGCACATAAATGCCAACCTGTCCTCTACTAGGCAGCTCTGAAGACTGGCCACCCTGCTTCCTCAGCAGAGTCCTGAAACTCTGTATGTTTTATCTAGTGGACAGAACCATGATGCAGCTTCACAACTGAACCACATCGTTCTTTTCTTAACTGCAAAGGCAAAATCTAGCTTTTAAGGGTTTCAAAAGAAAACTATGTATGAGAAGAATGGATTCATTCTCCCCAAAAGTACTTATAAAATTTCACATAGGCCAGGAAACAACTGAAAGCTTATTTTCATCTAATCAACCAGAAGCCCCATCCCAGCATCTGAACTGAGGACGAGCAAGTCTCGCTCTGTGGGGTCACCGTGCTTCTGTGTGAACCCAGACTGGACGAGAGCCCTTCAAAAGCCTGAGACTCCCCTGTCCAGGTCCACCACCCCCGCCAGCTCCGCTGGGTCACAAGTCCAAGGCGGTGGCAGGGGCGAATCAGGGTGCAGGGCTCTCAGATTTCCAGATGCAACTCCCGCCATGTCACCTGGGCAGGGAATCATGTGCCACCAGGTGGGACAGGACCAGCAATGTCCCTTCATGGCCACTTCAAACCTTGTTCCCCTCTGACCAGGTACGGCAAAGCATGGCAACAATTTCCCAGACGTGGACTTCCCTGGTGGCTCAGTGGTTAAGAATCCGCCTGCCAATGCAGGGGACACGGGTTCGAGCCCTGGTCCAGGAATATCCCACATGCCACAGAGCAACTGAGCCTGTGCGCCGCAACTACTGAGCCTGCGCTCTACAGCCCACGAGCCACAACTACTGAGCCCACGTGCTGCAACTACAGAAAGCCTGCACGCAGGAATAAAGACCCAACACAGCCAAAGATAAATTAAAAAATAAATAAATAAGTAAATAAAAGACCAGTTTCTTTTGAGATTAAAGTAAAACATAGAACTTAACCAAGGAATAGTTTCTTTAAAAAAAAAAGAATTTCCCAGACGTGAACTGCTTTTGACACAATTTTCGAGAGCCGACGGACTAGGTTCAGCACAACCAATGCGCCCATTCACAGATGGGGAAACAGCTGCCTGAAGCTAAACGGTTTGCCCTCAGCCTCTGACTCCCTAAGCCAAGTGTGCCCCGTGACACCACACTGTCCTGGAGAAGGGGCTGCCCACCTGCAGGACTCTAGCTGCCTAGAGTTCCAACCATTGAGGAGACGGTCACACAAAAGTCGGGGGTCTCCAGCGAGGCTCACTTCCCCCCGAAGGCAAAGGTGAAAGCCGATGTCCCAGCCTGAGACTTTTCCAGCCTCATGGGGCTAACGCTAGCAGAGCCCACTCTTCACCCATCTTTCTGGAAGCCGGCTTCACTCGTGCGCAGGTGAGCACTTCCAGGCTCTCCCTAACATCGTGCCCGCTGCCTCCCCCGCCCAACATGGGACAGGAAGAAGGCGCCAGGTGGCTGCTCAGACAGGACAGAGATGCTCCAGGTCCTGCACTCCAGAGTTCTGCAGAATCCCCTCCACTTCCTAGACCACAGGCAACACTGGAAATTGACTTTATTTTTCAAAGAAGGAAATTTCCTCCCAGACAGTTATCATCCCAATCTCTGCAAACCCAGCAAAAGAACACCCCTCGTGTTCCCTGTCAAAGGGGTTTTACCTTGCCCACCCACGGGAGAGCACAGGAGAATGTTCACAGTGCACAAACCTTTCTTTTCCAAGTAAAGATGAAAGGTGCTCACAAAACTCTGTTTAAAACACGGGAATCCAACGAGGAATTTCCAGGCATTTGTGAATTATTCTGTCTGTAAAAAGATTAAGAGTAAAAAGCTCAGAAGGATATGTGCTGACGGGCACCCAGGGCAAATCTTTACGTGTGGAGGCCCTTTTAGAATATCTCTGAAATCCTCGCAAACATAACGAGGTTTTGCAGAGCAATCTGAAAGGAGGGTGGGAAGAGTTACATTTTACTAACCAAAAAACTCAACCGATTTTCAGCCACAGTGAGAAACTACAGAAAATAAAAAAGTTCCAAAAGATTTATAACTGTTTGAAGTTTCTTCTTAATGCAACCAGAAACTATTGCCTCAATTGCTAACATACATTTCCTGTTCGCTAGAATCCTGACTGCTTTCCATTTCTGGGCCATCCTAATTTATGACTCTACTAAAAATCATAAAATTCTATTACCCTGGGTTTTTAAGAAAAAATAACATAAGAGAAGCACTCCCTGAAGGAAGGGATCATGATGTGGCTGGGATGAAACCCAGGGTGGCGACGGCTATTGGAATGTGAAGGGGGCGACTCGGGGAGCAAAGGAGAAGCAGGCTGCATCTCTGATGAACGGGTATGGTTACTGCACAGGACCAAGACTCTAATTCCCCAAGCCACCAGCTCAGCACCTCTTGATTGGACACTGCACTCCCAGACATTACAGATGAATACAATCCCCTTGTTCTCCAGGAACAAACCAGTCACAGGCAAACACCATTTGTATCGGCACACGGCTTGCCATGCTTTAGGAACTAGAGGGGTGATGCTCTGCTGGCCCTCCTCACACTCAATTTCCCCTTTGGAAACCCTAACTTCTGCAGGTTGCTTACTTAGTACATTCTGGGTATCGCAGTTATCAGCCAGCATCTATAAAAGTCTACCCAAGGGCAGCTAGTGATAGGCTCAAATCTACAATAATTTATTACCCGCTCAACACTTTAAGTTTTTGAAAAATTAAAAGCCTGGCATTTTTTGGATCCAGAGGTAATGCCTCTGGACCCCTACCTCACACCATACACAAAAACTAACTGAAAAATGGATCAAAGACCTAAATGTCTGAACTAAAACTATTAAACTCTTAGGGAAAAAAAAAAAACATAAGCATAGATTTTTATAAGCTTGAATTTGGCAATAATGCTTAGATATGACACCAAAAGCACAAGTGAAAAGAGAAAAAAATAAATTGGACAAAGTTTTAAACTTAGTGCTTCAAAGGACACCTACCAAGAAAGTGAAAATAATTCACAGAGAGACACATATATTTTCAAATCATAGAGAATATATAAAGAACTCTTACAATTCAATAATAAAAAGGACAATTAATCGTATTTTTAAATGGGAAAAGGACCTGCACAGACATTTCTCCAAAGATACAGAAATGGATGATAAGCTCAAGAAAAGACAGTATCATTAACCATCAAGGATATGCAAATCAAAACCAATGAGATACCACTCCACACATTCTAGAATGGCTACTATCCAAAAAACAAACAATAATAAGTTTGCTAAGGGTGTGGAGAAATCAGAACCCTCTTATGTTGCTGGTGGGAAAGTAAAATGAAAAAGTCCGGCAGTTCCTCAGAAGGTTAAACACAGAGGTGCCGCAAGTCCCAGCAATTCCACTCCTAGGTATATACCCAGAGAAATGAAAACTTCCACAGAAAACTTGTAAAGGAATGTTCATAGAGCATTACTCCTAACAGCCCCAGAGTGAAAATAACCTAAATGTCCATGTTATGTAATAGATACATAGCAGGTAGTCTATGCATACAATGGAATAGTATTTGGCAATAAAAAGAGTGAAGTACTGACACACGCTACAACATGCATTACTCTTGAAAACATTATGCTAAGTGAAAGAGGCCAGACACAAAAGACCAGATATTATACAGTCCCATTTATATGAATGGCCAGATCTGGCAAATCTACAGAGACCAAAAGTAGATTGGTGGTCGCTTAGTGCTGGGGGGCTGGGGGACAGGGACAGGGTTTCTTTGTGAGGTGATGAAACCACCCACGCACAATTAGCTTTCCATTAACCTCACCCTCTCCAGGGCAGCAGGAAGCCAAAGGGAACAGAAAGGTATCTGAGCAGCCAAAACAGACATCACAAGGCCCACTCTCTGCACCACAACTGCTCAGAGGACTCCCCTCCCACCTGGCCTCCTCCAAGGTGACTCAAAGCACCGCCTGCCCAGTGAAAGAGGAGAAACCTGATGGACAACGCGCCACCCCAGGACATAGGCCACTGCAACACAAGGCAGTTCCCGGGGCTCACCACCATTCTCTCCCTCAATCATGTGCCTCCCCAGCCCCTACTGAGTGCCACGGACCAAAGATCTGCATCACCAATGCCATTCATACAATTTAAGTGTTTTATAGATACGTCCCGCAAAATGTTTCAACTAAAAGTCACAGGTAGTGCGGGCAAACTGCCAGTTGGAGGGGGGAGGGGCAGAGCATCAAAGACAACCCTGCATCCTCCGCTCTTCATTCTTGTGTCCGGAGGGGCCTTTAGGACCCTTCCTTGCTCCTTGGGCTCCAGGAGTACCTTCCATCCAGGAGAAGAGCAGGCCCACCTGCGGCACCGGCGTGGTGACTCACCCCGCCGTCAGGCCCGGCCCAGCGCCGGCCTGCGGGGCCGCCAGGCCGAATCACGCGGTCGGGCCCCGGCGGCTTAAGCCCCGACCAAGCTCCGCGGGACCAAGTCACCGCGGAGCCCCAGCGGGGAGCGCTCGCCAGGGACGCCTCCGGAGCTGCGTCCAGCGGGAAGAGGATTCCTCGCCCCGGAGCCCGACGCGGCCAGATCCCAGGGGGAGGAAGCCCTGTCCCCCTCCACCCGAGACCCTCCGGCAGGGCCATCCAGCTCGCGTCGGAATACTCCCCAAGAGCCCCTTCCAGCTCATTTCCAGCACCCCCAGAGGAGGGGCTGTTCCCAACCCACAGCCTCTCAACTCTGCAGCTGCGCCGGTCGCTGCATTTCCACTGACCTGATTGCAACACCTCCCGCTAGGTGCGGGCCCGGGAGCGGGGTGGGAACTGCCCCGCCCGGCCGCCCGGAGACCCCAGCCCCTCCGCCCCTGACCCCCCCCCGGGTCCCGGACCCCTTCTTGTAGGGCTCCTCTCCTACCCTAGTCCCCCTCTCAGCCCTCCGCCCCGGCCCCTCCCTCTCGGCTCTCTGCCCCCGTCTCCTAACCCTCCAGGAGGTCCTGGATCCCCTCCCCGTAGGCCCCCTCTCCTCCTAGTTTCCCTCGGCCCTCCGCCCCCTTCCCCTAAATCCTCGGGGCCTGACCTCTCCCCCTAAGCCCTCTCTCTGCCCCTTCCCCCGACCTCGCGGGTCCTGCGTCCCCTCCTGGAGGGCCCCTCCCCTCCCCTAGAACCCCTCGGCCCTCTGGCCCCTTCCTCCTAGGGACCCGGGCACCCTCTCCTCATACCCCGGACCCCTCCGCCTCTGGTCCCTCTCCTCCCCCTTCCTGCCCGCAGCCCCGGGCCCCTCCCCCTCCATCGCCCCCGACCGCTCAGAACCGCGTGCCCTTCCCCCTCAGGCCCCGACCCCTTCCCCTTCCCCCAACCCGCCCCCTTTCCTCTGACCTCAGCCTCTCCCTCCGGCCCAGGCCCTCCCTCAGCCCCCAGCCAGCCCATCCCCTTCTCTCCGACCACAGCCCCCTGCCCCGGGAAGCCTCACCCGCGCTCCCCCCGCGCCCGAAACCGCGAGCGGAAATGCGGCGAGACCGCCGCGGCCGCCGCTTCCTTCCCGTTTCAGGACCCGGCGGCGCCCCGGGACCGCAACTGAGGAACCGGCCCTCCCCACCTGGCGGAAGGCGCGCTCGCTCACCACCACTGCGGTCGCTCCGGTCCAGCCCGGCTCCGCCCTGCCTCCGCCGCTCCGCCACTTCCCGCCGCTCCCGCTTCTCCTGCCGCTCCTAGGCGCCCCTCTCCACTTCCGGTTCCGCGTGCGGGGGCGGGGCCGCATCCGGGTCCCCGAGGCCCCGCCCCCTCTGGCACGCCCCGCCCCCGCCCGGTCAGAGGCCTACGGCCTTGCTGAGACAGCGGGGTGGGAACCGTGGTCAAACCCCGGCTGACTGGCCCGCGGTCCCTGCAGCCTCCCTCGTCCACGTGGCGCCGGAAGCGCCCACCGCTGGCGCAGGCGCGAGCTCCGCCCAGGTGCCAGCCTGCAAAGCATGCTTAAAAGTTAGATGACTGTACAGAGTACATTTAGGCCCACCATGCGCGGGCCAGACTGTGCTCAGATGGACACAATCCAAGGTGCTCATACTGAATTCATAGCACAGCCCGAGGGAGCAAAGGGAAAATGAGCCGGGAACGGGGACAATGCCGAGTGCGCTGAGCCCTGAGGACACAGGAGGTAACTGTGACGGCCAGTCACCTAGGAGGAATAGCGCCCTCCTCATCCATCCGTCTGGCCATCCATTACCCATACGTACATCATCCATCCATCCATCTTCTCCATCCATGTTCCATCCATCATCCATCCACCCACCCATCCATCCACCTGTCCATCCAGAGAAGGCCAGATATGTGTCAGGAATAGAGGTCAGCAGAATAAACGTGGTCCTTGCTCTCAGGGACCTTTCAGCCTAGAAGAGGGGTCAGGCATTAATCGAATAAGTATATACTTAGGAAACAAGGTATATGCTATAGAAGAAGTCAAAGGTCATGACATTATATTGGGGAGAAGACGGGACCCGAGCTCATCCAGGAGATTGGAGGTTTCTGTGAGCGATTAACATTTGTGCTAAGATCTGAAGGCCAAACAGAAGTAAACAAGGTAAGATGGGAAAAATTTTCCAGGTAAGGAAAGAGCCTGTGTGAAGGTCCTGAGTCAGGAAAGGTCTTGCCACATGGGAACTGAAGGAAGTTCAGTGCAGCAGAAGTGTGGTGATGAAGCAGGGTAGTGGGGCAAGATGGGGCCAGGTCATGTAGAGATTGGGAGGGCAGAGCAAGGACCTTAGTCTTTATTCTAGAAGAAACAGGAAGTCCTTGGAGGAGATTAAGCAGAGGGGAGACATCATACAGTTTGAACTGTAATGAAATCCCTCTGGCTGCTGGGTGGAGAGTGGGTGGGAAGATGGCCAGGTAGGATCCTAATATCCTGCTTGCTACCACCAGTTCAGGCAGACTGTTGGTAGCAAGTAAGATGGAGAGAAGTGAGTAGGTACAAGATACATTTAGGAAGTTAAATTGTCAGGTTTGAGGATGGACTGGGGGTACGGGGTGGAGAAGGAGATGTCAGGGGCCAAAGGATAATTTTTTAAAGATAAAATCATGATTTTCATACACATGTAAAATGAACACATGTCAAAGATCTTATTTCACTTAATAATAAATGAAGCAAAAATGTGTCACAACTTGTTCAGAGGAGAAGTCAAAGGCATGCTGAAATGAATTTGCAAAAACCGGTCTATCCATAGGGCAACGTCAGTTGTATTTCATTGGACACAGGTAATTTGCCTTTCTGTGGGTGCAAATTATTTGCATCTGTTTTCTCCAGGTTAACTTCTACCTCCACAGAGGTACGGAATAATCTAGGCAAAAATAACAAAGGCACACATCCTGTAGAATCGTGTTTATCAGAGGCTCCAGCATTCTGTTAAAAGAATACCTAAGAATCATTTTTGCCCGTTCTAAAGTCTGGAATTTTTCCTTCCAAAAGGATGACTCCTAGTATCTGAGTAGGTGCTCAGACAGGGCAGATGGGCAGGGTGGGGAATGAGGGTTGGGGGAGAAGATACACCAAGATTGCGATGGAAGAGTGAGGATACGTTTGTGGACTTGGTACCTTTGAGGGGCCTGTTGCATGTCAAAACGAGGTCCACGAAGTGATGCTGGAGAGATGGCTTTTGAGCAGGAGCTTTAAGACTAAGCAGGATAAGGACGTAAAAAGGTAGGAAAGGCCATCCCGGGAAGAGGGAGGGATTGCAGCAAAGGCACAGAGGTGGCAAAGAACGGGGTCGCATAGAAAACCTTGAGGTCAGATGGATAGAATCGAAGTGCTTTCGCTTCCATCATTACCACGGACAGTGCAGTGCTGTGTGCAGTCAGGCATCAAGCTAATTGCTTGGTGGACTAAGGGAAGGCTCCCTTTTGATATAGGATTTTAGGCTCTGGACGCAGAGGATCTGACAACAGATCCCAACTCCAAGGCCTACTAGCTTTGTGACCGTGGGCAGTCACTCTGTCTTTCTGAGCCCCGGTCTCCCCATTTGTGCAGCTAGCTGTTGTCTCCTGGAGATTGTAATATGCAGGTCCCACGTTGCTTGGTTAGCCCAGGGCCCGGCATACAGTTAGTGCCCAGTAAGTGTTGGCCCTGTTGACTGAAAAAGGATGCACAATGTGAGAGTTGTGAGTTAAGTTTTATTTGGGGCAAAGTGAGGACTACAGTCTGAGAGACAGCCTTTCAGATGGCTCTGAGGAACTGCTCCAAAGAGGTGGAGTTGGGGGGGTCAGTAGACATGATTTTAGTGAAGGGAGGGGCACATGCAGTCAAACACACATTTTCACAGAGGCTAGCTGCTAGTCACGAGGTGCAGATGTCCCTGTTAATAATTTTAGTGCTTTTCTAGGTATGAGAAGACGCAAGAAATTGGACTCAGAAAATCTTCTGCTGAAAATATCTAACTATCTGAAGACCTGTTCTGCCAGTTTTTCCCAGAGTACAGAGCACTTCATTCCTGATCTCCACCCTGACCTCCTTTCAGGGTAGGTTGAAAGTCAGTGACTGCAGTGGCTCATGACTGCATCCTTGTAGAGGCAGAGGGAAACATCCCACCTGGAAGTAGGGGAACTAACATTTGGGGACAGCCTGGCTTTGTCAGACACCACTGTGAGATTTTTAAAGTATAAGTGTGATACTGTGATTTATAAGAAATATGGGGACTTCCCTGGCAGTCCAGTGGTTAGGATTCCGGGCTTTCACTGCTGTGGCCCGGGTTCAATCCCTGGTTGGGGAACTGAGATTCCCGCGAGCCACGCAGCGCGGCCAAAATAAAAATTTTTTAAAAAGAAGTATGTATTTGGTCATTCAGATGACCAAATGTATATTTCTCATATATAGTTGATGTTCATTCACAGTTCCTGTTTTACAGCTCCCCAAACCCTTGGAATTTCCTAACTGTTAAGAGCATAAATGTGTCTCGTTATATGAATGAGCTGACTTTTGGAAAGCACCTAAGGATGGGAGCTGGTTGCCAGGAGAACCAACTAAGTGACTAGAGGGTTGGAAATTTCAGTCCCACCCTTGAGCTCTGGGGAGGGGAGAAGTGAAGAACGGCGGGTTGAATTAATCGCCAAGGGCCAAGAGTTCATCAATCGTGCATATGTAATGAATCCTCCATAGAGACCCAAAAGGACGGGGTTCTGGGAGCTCCCGAGTTGGTGAACGTGTGCAGATCTGGGGAGAGCGCTGCCTGGAAAGCATGGAAGCTCTGAATCCTTTCTCACACCTTGCCCTGTGCACCTCTTCCATCTGGCTGTTCCTGAGTTCATAACCTTTTAAAAATAAATCTGTGATCTAGCAAGTAACAAGGTTCTCTGAGTTCTGTGAGCCACTCTAGCAAATTCATCAATCCCAAGGCGGGTTGGGAACCTCTGACTTATAGCCAGCGGCTTAGAAGCACAGGTGACAACCTGCACTTGGGGCTGGTGTCTGAAGTCCAAGGCGGAGGTCGTGGGAACCTCCAGTCTGCAGCCGGTGAGTCAGAAGCGCAGGTAGCAACCGAGACTTGCAGTTGACGTCTGACGTGGGCGTGCGGGAGTTGTGCGCCTGGATCCGTAACCTTCAGGCTCTGACGCCACCTCGGAGCAGGTAGCATGAGAACTGAGCTGAATTCTCAGGCGCCCTGCGGGTGTCTGAGAATTGTTTGTTGGTGGGGGTGGGGGGGACTACCCCGACATTAGAAGTGGAGTCTCAGAACACCAATAGGATATTTCATTTTCCCCTCAAAACAGCTTTCTGCGTTGAAATTATTTTTTAAGAGTAGTTTTTATTGAGCTGTAATTACATAAAATACAGCACACCCACTTACAGCATACGATTCAGTGGTTTTTAGTATTGTCAGGAGGTGGCACTGTTACCCTCCAGGGCTCTTGGCCCCCTTAATCAATAGAAATGGATCAGAAGCCAGACGAGAAATTCAGGCAGGGCTGTACTGGGGCCCCCGCTGCAGCAGGGGGGAGGGAGAACAAGTAAGAGGTTCCCTCGCTCACTTCCCGAGGGGGGCAGCTGGGTCCCTCTATGGGGGGCGGGTAGGGGTGTGTCCTGGGGTCGGGCTAGAGCGGTGACTTAGGAGGTTTGCCCAGCCCTTTTTTTTTTTTTTGCAGTACGCGGGCCTTTCACTGCTGTGGCCTCTCCCGTTGCGGGGCACAGGCTCACGGGCCCAGCTGCTCCGCGGCATGTGGGATCTTCCCGGACCGGGGCACGAACCCGTGTCCCCTGCATCGGCAGGCGGACTCTCAACCACTGCGCCACCAGGGAAGCCCCGCCCAGCCCTTTGGTCATGGTGTGTGCAGGGGTCATGCGCAGTACCCTGCTTCTGCTCCCGGCTCTTCAGAAGTGGCAGTTGGGTTTTGGGGCTTTTTGTATCTTGTTGTCCGTAATTGCCCCAACTGTACATGCACGCAGTTATTTTTAGTCCCTTAAAGTTTCTTTGTATTTTGTTGCTCAAGGAGATGTTTGTCCAGATGTAAGCACTGCAGCAAAGGGTCCCAGGTCCCAGGTCCCAGCCTGTCTCAGTGCAACCGTCACCACAACCGACCTTTAGAACATTTTCATCCCCCCCAGAGGAGACCCTGCTTGTTAGTGATCAATTTCTATCCACCCCACCCCACCCCAAGCAACCACTCATCCGCTTTCTCTCAATGAGCTGGAATTATTTTTTTAATATTTATTATATTACATAATTATATAATACATATGCCACATTCAATGAGCTGGAATTACTGCTTCCATTGTCCAGATTAGAATAACCAAAGCTCACAGGAGACTGGTCAGCAGGAAGGTGGCGTGAGCTTTGTGACACACAAAGACCACTCTGGCTGCTACGGGGAGGACAGACCGCACGGCATGTGGGTTCTTAGTTCCCTGCCCAGGGATCGAACCCGTGCCCCCTGCAGTGGAAGCACGGAGTCTTAATCACTGGACCACCAGGGACGTCCCATTGTATGCATTCTAAGTATAACGTTAGGGATCCTTAACATTACGGTGTTAGCCCTTACGGCGCCTTGCTGCTTCTGGTCTTGCAGTCTTGGAACGTGAGACTGCACTGCTGTGAAGAACTCCTGGAGTGTGAGAGACGCCACATGAAGGAGAACCCAGGCCTCCCAGCCAAAAGCCAGCACCAGCTTCCAGGTACCTGACTGAGACCATCTCGGACTTCCCAGCCCCACAAGAGCTGTCAGGTGACTGCCATCACGTAAGTGGTTCCAGGAAAGACCAGCGGAAGAACCACCCAGATTGCCAGTCCACCGGATCAAGAGAAACAAGAAATCATTGTTTTTACCACTAAGTTTTGGGGTGGATTTTTACAAAGCAACAGATAAGACAGCAGATGGAGATCTTTCAGGGAATTGTGAAATCGATTTTCTGGGGGAGGAAAACAGTATAAAAAGTATATAAGACGGCAGAATAGAATATATGAGTTCATTTCATACAGAATCGTTGCAATTATCTATTGCTGTGTAATAAGGCACTCCAAAAGTTCATGGTGAAAAAGCCACCACCATTTTATGCTGAAACTTCATATGCTGGACCAGGAGTTTGGCAAGTGCAGGGGATGTGGTTCATCTTTGTTTTCAATGGAGCCTCGGCTGTGATAGATCAAATTTGGGGCTGTGGCTGGATGAACTGATTAGGGCCGTACGTCTGGGGCCTTGACTCTGTCTGCTGGGTGCGTTCCTCGTTTCTTCTCCCCATCATGTCTTCAGGAACAGGAACGTCCAACTTGGCTTCTTCACTTCCAATAGGCTGGCAGGAGCCGCGAGGATCTCGCTCTGCACAGCTCTCCATGGGGCCAGCTTGGGCTTCCTTACAGCATGGTGGGCCTGGGTAGCTGGACTTCTTACTCGGTGGCTGGTTTCTGCAAGGCTTCTGCTGACCTCGCTTCAGAAGTCCGTGAACATCACACCTGCTACATTCTGTTGGTCAACGAGGTAAGTCGCTGAGGCCAGCCCAGGCTTAAGGAGGTCGGGAGGGGGGGATTAAGACCCCACCTCTCAATGAGAAGAGCAGCAAAGAATCTGCAGCCTAGCGGGTATTTTGTCACTGTATTTCTAAGATGTCATTGCTTGTAAGACACATCCTGACTTCACGGGTAAAAAGATGTGAAAAAACGGTCATAATAAAATTGATGAAATGTAGTGTATACATGCAGAGCTGTGGTGTAAAATGTTTTCCACTGTGGCTTGCTTAGAAGTTCAGAACTAGGCTAAATTACATTCCAAAGTGAGAGCCAAGAAGCAATTTCCAGACATCTAGTCCAGACTAAGACAGTTTGTCACATGGAGGATGTCCCTAAAATAACTATTAAAATTTTTGTTATGCTAAAAAAATTCACACGAATGCAAAAACAGATTAATATAATAAACCTTCATGAAACCGTTACCCATCTTTTTTTCTTTTTTAACATCTTTATTGGAGTGTAATTGCTTTAAAATGTTGTGTTAGTTTCTGCTGTATATCAAAGTGAATCAGCTACATGTATACACATACCCCCCTTCCCTCTTGTGTCTCCCTCCCACCCTCCCTATCCCACCCCTCTAGGTGGTCACAAAGCACCGAGTTGATCTCCCTGTGCTATGCAGCTGCTTCCCACTAGCTATCTATTTTACCTTTGGCAGTGTATATATGTAAATGCTACTCTCTCACTTCGTCCCAGCTTCCCCTTCCCCCTCCCCATGTCCTCAAGTCCATTCTCTATGTCTGCATCTTTATTCCTGTCCTGCCCCTAGGTTCATCAGAACCTTTTTTTTTTTTGTAGATTTCATATATATATATGGAATACATATATACGGTAGTTGCTTTTCTCTTTCTGACTTACTACACCCTGTATGACAGACTCTAGGTCCATCCACCTCATTACAAATAACTCAATTTTGTTTCTTTGTATAGCTGTGTAATGTTCCATTGTATGTATGTGCCACATCTTTATCCGTTCATCTGTCGACGGACACTTCCATCACCCATCTTTAACAGTTATCTCCCCACAGGGTCAATTTTTTTTGATCCATATCCTGACTTATCCCTGCCCCAGGATTATTTTAAAGCAAATGCCAGACACTGTATTATTTCATCTGTAAATACTGGGGAATACTGTCTTTCCACGTGCCTTTTTTGTTGTAATCACAGTAATCCACTTGGCTTGGCAATAGATAATATTTACAGCCTTATTAATGGAAACAGTGGACATGGATTCAACCAACTTTGATTTAACTGTGTTGGGAGAGGAAAGGGCAGGGCAGAGGAATGCTAAAATTCCCATCTACCATAAAGAGTTGCCAATCTGCAAAGTCTAAAATTGGTGAATCAAGGGTTTCCCTGATGGCGCAGTGGTTAAGAATCCGCCTGCTGGTGCAGGGAACATGGATTCGAGCCCTGGCCCGGGAAGATCCCACATGCCGCGGAGCAACTAAGCCCGTGTGCCACAACTACTGAGCCCGAGAGCCACAACTACTGAAGCCCACACGCCTAGAGCCCGTGCTCTGCAACAAGAGAAGCCGCCACAACTAGAGAAAGCCCGCACGCGGCAACAGAGACCCAACGCTGCCAAATATAAAAACAAATAAATTTATAAAAAAATATAAATAAATAAAAAAAATTGGTGAATCAAGGGGCCACATTAAGCACAAATTACTTAGGAGTAAGGAAGCAACTAGAGGAAACAGTTAACCCAGCTGCACATGGACCACAGAAGGGGAAGTCAGAGAGTGGGGCCGCTGGGGTCTCACTTAAGTGATATACATGTTATTACTTTGATTAAAATAAAACATTAAAAAGAAAGTAAGGTGGGGACTTCCCTGGTGGTTCAGTGGTTAAGACTCCATGCTCCCAATGCAGGGGCCCCGGGTTCGATCCCTGGTCCGGGAACTAGATCCCACATGCATGCCACAACTGAGTTTGCATGCCACAGCTAAGGAGCCTGCCTGCTGCAACTAAGGAGCCTGCCTGCCACAACTAAGACCCGATGCAACCAAATAAATAAATATTAAATTAAAAAAATTAAGATGTTGGAGAATTGATGACTAAAATCTCTTCGGCCCTATAGGTAGTGTAATACTACAATTCCTCAGTTACGTTTTCTTTTTTTTTTTAATAAATTTATTTATTTCATTTATTTTATTTTTGGCTGCATTGGGTCTTTGTTGCTGCACGCGGCTTTCTCTAGTCGCAGCGAGCGGGGGCTACTGTTCATTGCAGCGCATGGGCTTCTCATTGCAGTGGCTTCTCTTTGTTGCGGAGCACGGGCCCTAGGTGCACAGGCTTCAGTAGTTGTGGCGTGCAAGCTCAGTACTTGTGGCGCACGGGCTTAGCTGCTCCGCGGCACGTGGGACCTTCCCGGACCAGGGCTCAAACCCATGTCCTCTGCATTGGCAGGCGGATTCTTAACCACTGTGCCACCAGGTAAGTCCCCAAATGACTTTTTAATAGAGCAGAGCCCGTCTGTCTACCTTTGCAGCTAGGGACACTCGACACACTCCAGTTGGAAGAATACTTCTACCAGTCAAACCTGTTTGCACGCCACGGGTCATTTTGATTATTTTTAAATATTTTCCATGTTCTACCTGGCCAGTCTCTGCCAGCACCTGCCAGGTCACTGTGAGCCGTCTGATGGTCCTTCCCCCCACGTCCCAGCCCAGCCCCCTGCTCGCTGCTCACAGCGCCCTTCATGGGATGTCGAGGGTCCAGTCCCCACTAGAGGGCAGTCCCTGGGCAGGGCCAGTTCTAGCCATCCTGGTATCTCCAGGGTGGCAGGGTCTTCTCCAGAGTGCCTGATGGTGGTGGTCCCACAAAGATACGTCTGTACACATCTCTGCAACTGGTGAATGTGACTTTATTTGGCAAAGTGATCTTTGTAGATGTAATTAAGGATCTTGAGATGAGATCGCCTTGGATTACCTGGGTGGGCCAATGAGAGGTGTTCTTATAAAGAGACAGAAGATGAGACACTCAGAGGAGAGGCCACGTGAAGACAGAGCAGACTGGAAGGATGCGGCCACGGCCACGGAAGCCAGCAACCACCGAACACTGGAAGAGAGAATGGACCCTCCCCTCGAGCCTCCGCAAGGCCCTGGCCCACCTCCTCTCCCACTGCACCTGCACGCTGGGCGTAGAGCTGCACACAGTGCTGGTCTCAGACAGCAGTACTTGAAAAGGTGCCCCGCTGAGTCCAGGACATGAAACAGCAAAGGCACCGGCTACCCATTCTCACCAAGGGATTAAGCCAAGGAAATGTAAGAAACAAAAGGATCTGCGATATTTAGAAAGGTATTGAGGACGTCCCTGGTGGCACAGCGGTTAAGAATCTGCCTGCCAGTGCAGGGGACATGGGTTCGAGCCCTGGTCCGGGAAGATCCCACATGCCGCGGAGCAACTAAGCCCGTGGGCCACAACTACTGAGCCTGCGCTACAGAGCCTGTGAGTCACGACTACTGAGCCCTCGCGCCACAACTACGGAAGCCCACGCGCCTAGAGCCCGTGCTCCGCAACAAGAGAAGCCACCGCAATGAGAAGCCCGCGCACCGCAACGAAGAGTAGCCCCCACTCGCCGCAACTAGAGAAAGCCCGCACGCAGCAACGAAGATCCGATGCAGCCAAAAATAAAAGTAAACAAACTTATAGAAATGTACCGAATGACACGTGGGTAGTTACAGCAGCAGCTGTGGTAGCACTTGGATATGCACCTACTCATCTATCTGGCAAGAACACAGGAAAGACAGACTCTTCCGGATACCCCGGAAACCCATCTTGGGTGAGGAGAGGACTTAGCTCGTAAAAGGCAAAGAACAAAAACTAAAACCACAGTGACCTCAAAAACGCGTGACATGAAACTTAGAGAGATCCTTAAGGGTAGGATGTGTAGCCTAACAAAGAGTTTCTAATGGTGGGAAGAGTCAAGACCCTCTTTAACATGACCACACCTGGACTGCAGACTGACTTCCCTCCCATCCCCGTGAGGGGCAAAGCCCTGGGCACTGGCTGTGAAGGGAACAGACCTGAGAAGCATGGCTAACGAGTGTTCTAAGAGAAGCAAAACTACAGAAACGTCTCCTTACTGCTTTCTTTGGGTATTTCTCCATCGACACTTGTTTTTAAAGGCCTAAGTGGAATCCATGAAACAAGTTGTCATAAAACACCTGCAGCTTATGAATCAGGCATGACTCCGTTTCCAGAATCTTTCAGATACTCACGGCTCGCTTGGCTTTGTTCAGGCAAAAATGGAGTGTGAGATGGGAAAAGCACTCTGTGGTTTTCAATCTCACGCTTAAGTTAACCCTGAGAACTAGGAAATGCAGAAAATAAGGCCGCTCCTAAGTTAAACTGGAAGACGAGCAAAGCACAGGTTCTAAAGAGGGAAACACCCAATGACCTGACAGCTATGTTCACAGAAACAAGCCGGAATGCATTCATCCACATAAACAACACATGTGCCATTCAGAAAGGGAGCCCGTCAGCCCTGGAGGGACAGTCGGGACAGGAATGAAACCGAGGCCATGGTCAGCAGCGCCCACCCAACAGGGCCCACCCAACAGGGCCCAAGTAGGGTGGTGGCAGTCACCAGGCTTGCTGCGTCCTCAGACCTGATGGCAGAAACACCTTCGTGGTGGTGAGGGCGGGAAACGTCACCTAGTGAGCTAAGGCGTCCGTGCCCTCGTCCTAGTGCCGCCTGCAGTGGCCCTTCGGGAGCAGCCACCTGCACCCACCCTGCCACCCACTAGTGCCCGGCTGTCCCCCTGGGGATCCACTTTCAGCCCTCCAGCTTGGGTGTTCCCACCCCACTGCCACACTGAACCTGGATGTGACTCAGGACTTGGCTTGAGCTATCACAGAGGCCATGAATCTGGAAGGACACAGCCCTGGGACCCTTGTGTGGCCACGTGGGAAGAGCAGGACACCAAGCCTGCCCAGAGGCGGCGGAACTGAGGAACGCGCGCGCGCACCGCCACCAGCACGAGTGCCTCTGCTTCGCCACTTGCTCCAGCTCTGGCCTCACCTCAGCTTGGAACAGATCCCAGCTGCTGCTGCCCCACCGGTGGCTCCTAAAAATGCACCTCCTGCAAGAGCTGCTGTTCCGGCTGCCCTGAGCGTGCCCAGGGCTGTGGCGGCACAGGGGCATCGGACAAGTGTGGCTGCCGTGCCTGATGCGGGGGGAGCCTGATGCCGGGGGGAGAGCCTGCTCCCAGATGTACCCAGAGCTGTGATTACGATTCTGCATTAAAAATCTTTTTTCATACTTCCCTAACTCCCTTGCTACATTCCTGTTTCTATGGAATATGTGAATAAAATTTGCTGACTAAAAAAAAAAAATTAAAAGGCACCCACACCCATACACACGCACGCGAGCACACGCACACCCCCGGGTGTCCTCCTTCGGGTCCAGGTCTGGGTTGCCCTCGGCCGCCCCATCCCTGGACTCCACAGGTGAGCCTACACAGCGCCACGCTGTTGCCGACAATCGGCCCGGTGCCTGTGGCAGCAGAGGCTTCCAGGGCCCGGCTCCCCGTAGGTACTGATGAGAGGGCGCCTCTGGCCTCCAGAACCGAGGGCACGAACACCTGGTCACCCCCTGGAGGACACCTGACCCTACACTCCCATCGTCCAGCCTTTTCAGTCTGTCCGTCCATTCCTACAACAGAATTTCCATATGACGACACTGGCTCCAATCAGTCGGCCTGGAGCGGGAGATGCAACAGCTGCGGTCAGTTCTCAGCAGGAGCACAGCTTACCCTCGTACTCTGTATTGGCAGTGGAAAATTCTGCTTCGGTACTTTATTGAAAGAAAGCAATAAATAATACTGTGATAAAAATAGTTCAAAAGTAGACTGTACATACTTTGTTACATAATCAGGAAGTTCACAAAAGATGAATAGAAAAACAGAACGGTAACAGTGAACTGTACAAGTAAATTAAAGGCAGAGCCCGAAGGTAAAAAGACGCGCCACCTCTGTCCACCGGTACAGCAGCTGCGTAATGAATAATGCGCCATGATCTGAACACGTCTCCTGCTGGCTTTTTAATATGCCATTAAAAAGTAGAAGTTACATTTGCTACTTATGCAATCCAAAATGGCTATATCGTCAAAATCTAAAAATGTACGGCTAGGTCCATTCTTTAAACATGTTTACAGACAAATGTAAAAGGATGATTTACATCAGAAAAATAAGGCCTTCATTAGAGCCGCACTACGTTATTCTCAGCATCTCAGTGCCTTCACCTTCCGCGTGCGCCAGTGTCTCCTCAGCGAGTGCAGTGCTTCGTGATTGGTCCTCTAAGAGTCGGCGCCCTTGACCCGGCTTCCCAGGAGGGGGGCGGGGAAGGGGGCGGGCGCGGCGGGCTGCGGGGGCCCAGGCCCCACCCCCCCACCGGAGTCGCTCTTCCCCCAGCTCGCGGCTTCTGCCAGCCACCCAAGACGAGGTGTCCGGATCCACAGAGGCCAGGCTACGGGAGAGCTCACCACCGGTCCGAAGGGATTTTCAGAGCGTTCTAATGATCCCTTCAGTCCAAATTTGATTAGAAGCTGCTCTTTAACACCCCGTATTTTTAATCTCTTCACGCTACAGAGTAAAGCATTTCTTGCTAGAAAAAGGATAGCTAAGGTCAGTCATTAAAATACAACAACAATTGCTTGAAAGTAAGTTGGCTTCTTTCAAAATGATTGTTGTAGGGCTAGGTTACATTTTGTAAAGGGTAATGCACACTGTGTCATGATTTTACAAACGCGGTAAAATCCTTTGCTCTGTCATGGTTTATCATTAAAAAATTAAACAAGAATAATTACAATAAATGCATAATTTACAAAAGCCCTATATTTGTTCATAGGATTTATACATACAAGCATTACAGTACATTCCTTTGAAAGACTAAAATCAGATATAAGAACATGAATTGATCTGAAAGGATATTTATAGCCTGGATATACATGAAAAAGTAAGTAACTATATAAATGAAGTCATAAGTTTACATAAATATAAGAAACATTAAATTCTAAAATATTTTCTCTATGGTATTCATGAATTTTTCACTAATTAAAAACTCTGTAATAAAATATCTTAGGGTCCATATAACAAGTATTAACAGATTAAAGATTCCGTTGAGCTCAAAATGTAGTCTTCGCTGGATTCAAAATGCTGCATAATCATCTGTAGAAGTAGTGTGGGTAAACTGGAAAATAAAATAAAAGCGAACGAGTCAGTCTCGAGACAGCTTCAAGCGCCCGAGCTCCTACCCCTCCACGACCCGTCCCCAAGCCCTACGTTCTGTGCTTCGGCTGCTTTTAGAACGTAGGTAAGCATCAAGGACCAAGCGGCTCACGGAGAGAATTCCTTGACTGACTTTCTTTTGACACACATCTAAAAGCTACTAATAAGAAAACCAATCATGCATTCCAGCTGAGACGTGACAACAGAACCCTGAGGGCAGCGAGGGGAAGGCTGGGCTCCCGGGCCCACACCCACCCACAGCACCACCTGCAAAGCAAGGGTGGCCCCTCAGCAGCGGCCGACCCCGAGATGCCAGCGCAGTTTCGTTTTAAAGACGGGCCTCTGGACTGAGAGGCACACGGCGGTGCAGCCTCGTGAACCCTGATGCTTTGGGGCTTGTTCCCTTCGAGCATGTGCACGCAAGACACGGTGCTGCAGCACCGCTGACGCGGGAGCGACACCAGCACGCAGGGCAACGCGACGGAGACCCGGGCCGTGCACTGACCACTCCCGGCGGCAGCTAAGCGCCAAGGTCACCTTCCGCTCTCCTGCCGCCCCATCCCCCCGGACGCTCCGGCGCCAGGGCGTGGCCTCCCCGCACCTGCGGGCCGGGGCCAGGGCCGCCCTGTACTCACCGGCGTTGGCTCAGCAGGAGTAAGTCCTGACTGCAGCGGAGTCCAGCCTCTGCGCTCCCGCCACGCTGCCTGGTCCGACAAGCACGGGAGGGAGGAAGCGTGCAAACACAGCGTGCGGTTAGTGGTGGGACGCCACACGGGGGCACAAGGACGGACACGCACTCACATCCACAGCGGCCACCTCCTGAGGGCTCTGGGGGAAACCACCAGAGGGGGAGGGGCGGACGAGCCAGAGAAAGGGAGCCTAAGGGCCACCACGTGAGGGTTCCCTTCACCTCCGCCACCCTGGGGGGCACGGGGAGGGCACACTACAGCAGCAGCCGCAGTCAGATGACAGAGAAACGCCTGCACGGTGGGTGACGACTACTCAGCGTGACCACGTGGTCCCCTCCTTAAACCCTCTAGATTCAGAGAGCGCCTGGACTTCTCTTTCGCTGTATCCGCGAGGACGGTAGTCGGGCAACAGTGACAGCGGCCATGTGACGGGCCCCGCCAAGGGGACTGAAGCCCAGCACCGATGGCCCGGAGGCCCCGCGCTCTGTTGCCCCAGGGGGACCCGCCTGCTCCCTCTCCCCGGGAGCCTTCCGCAGCGGCTTCGACAGAGGGCAGAGGGCAGAGGACGGGGATGTAGGTAACAAAGCGGAAGCCCAGTGTCAGCTTCCACCCGAAAGGATGTCACCACTGACGATTTTTTTCTTGTCAAGAAACAGGCTGCGGGGCCCAATAGGTAAGCCCTCACCCCGCTTTAAACTGAGTAAGAAATTTCCATAACCCCGAGCAGAAATCCGCTGCTCCCAATTCAACATTTTTCGTTTCCCCACAGGTCCACCAGGAACACATTTGACCAATATTTGGCCGCGGTTCCAGAAAGGGCTTAAGACGGCTGGCGCTGCTGATCGGAGCAGATCTTTTTTTTGTTTTTAAAGCCATTGATTTGGACATTTTATTTTACTTTATTTATTTATATTTGGCCACACCACGTGGCACACAGGCTTAGTTCCCGACCAGGGATCGAACCCACGCCCCCTGCACTGGAAGCGTGGCGCCTTAACCACTGGGCCACTGGGGAAGTCCCGCACAGCATCTTTCTAAATCCTTCTGATCCTAAGAACCCCAGGGACCTGCTGCACTTTTTGCCTTCAAAAGCCATGAAAACAACCCATTTTAATAGTTTATGCCTTCCTTATCACACAAGGGTAAAAAGTCATCTCCCATATAATATACTGCCTACACCTCTTTCTAGGAGTATTTTTAATTTATCAAAACTCTAACGTTAACATCACTGTGAGCATTTAACAGCGAAATGCGAGTTATAACGAGGAGAATGGAAATGAAGCAGTGAGGAAAATAAGAAAGCACTCACTTAGACTATCCAATAAATTGAAGGCCAAGCTACGGTTAAAATCTGTAAAAATGGGGCTTCCCTGGTGGCGCAGTGGTTGAGGGTCCGCCTGCCGATGCAGGGGACACGGGTTCGTGCCCCGGTCCGGGAGGATCCCACATGCCGCGCAGCGGCTGCGCCCGTGAGCCGTGGCCGCTGAGCCTGTGTGTCCGGAGCCTGTGCTCCACAACGGGAGAGGCCACAGCAGTGAGAGGCCCGCGTACCGCAAAAAAAAAAAAAAACAACCCAAATCCGTAAACCGCCCTCACTAAAGGGTCCAGCTTAGTTAGCAAAGGCTTCCCTAAATGTACTTTGCGCTGATTTTCATACAGGCAAGTGAGAGCAAAACTTACAAACCTACGCATGGGAAGGGCTGATAACAGGAGCAAGCTGCAAACCCCGTCAGCACACTTCGAAAGCCCCTCGCTCTCCGGCAGCCCGGCCACGGCAGGCGTGGGGACGGCCTGAGTAACAGCAGCGCCGCGGCGGCCCTAAGGGCTCCGCCCTCACGGGACTGAGGACGTGCCAGGCGCTTTCCTGAGCCGCGACCCGCTCTGTGAATCACTTGTGTAACCGGCACGGGCAGCCGGGGAGGAGGGTGCCCCAAGACGACCCTTTCCCAGATGGGAAACTGAGGAGCGGTGCTCAAGGCGCCTCCTAGGCCGCAGGGCCAGACTCAGACCCAGGCCGTCCGTCTTGATTTTGCTGCCGAGTGGGGACACAGCAGCGCTGAGAGCCCACCCTTAACTGGCGGTGCCCTCTGGCAGAGCGGTTGTCAAAGGGAAGAGCAGAGCTGGGCGTGAAATGACTATCGGCCCAGCCATGCTCGGGTGATGACTTCTCTCAACCTCACCTTCTTCCTTCTCCCCGGCCTTCTACAGCGTGCAAGGGACAAATAACAGTGAGGACGGAGGGAGGACAGGAAGGTGGAGGTTATTTCAAATGGACTCAGTCACCGTTCTAGCGCGAAGAGAAGTCGAGGGGGAGCTGGTGGGGTCTGAAAACTACTATGTGCTATTTTATGAAACAGCTTCTGAGCGCTGCCTGCCACACACACATCTTTACGAGCATGGGTGTCGATCTAACGCTCTGAGAATACACACGATTCTTAGTTTTATTAGTTAGAAGAGTATGCTAATATTCAACCAGACAAGAACTTAAGAATTAAGACTCTATTACTGTTAAACTTTTATAAACAGATGTTAGGATTAATTTTAAACATTTACACCTGGGCATGCAACAGTACTCAAGTGCCTTGTCACATACTAAGTAGGCCATTCTAGATCATTATCAACGTTCCAGTCCCAGAGCTGCTCAAGCCGCCTACCAACGGCTGGGGCAGCACTGCATCACCTACCGTCCAGCTGCATCTTCTTTGGCTGCACAGAGGGCGAGGACAGAGAGGACGGGACCCGGAAGTTTGCGGGGAGAGTCTCTGCTGACCCAGCAGCTAAGCCACGAACATCCTTTGGTCTAAATTTTTTTCTCCAAGAAGGTGCTCTCCTAAAGCTTTTATCATCATCCTGATGAATTAAAGGACAGAAAACAAGACGGATTTAAAAATAAAGGACAAAAACATAAAGTTACCAGCCCTTTAAAATGACTGAGCTTGTTACCGCATCTTTATTTCACCCCGTTCGTGACAACCATATGATTAGCTGGGAACTGTGGAGAGTGGCCGGGGGCCCGGTACCACTGATGCTGGGACCCTAACTGAGCATCAACCAGGACTGCCTGGGCCGCCCGGGTGTACGTTCCTCCTGACAATTACCAGGCTTCACTTCTTATCTTGAAGGAATCACCTTCTTGCTATATAATATAACACGTTTTTATTTGTCTTTAAAAACAGTTTTCGAGCTGTGAACAATTCTGTCTCATGCTGGGACAGAGCCAGCAAATGCTGCTTTAGGTGCCCTTCTACTCTCTTTGTGAAACTCAAGTTTCCTTAACGTCCAATGAAGAGAATAACGATAAGTGTGGGAATAAATGAGTCATGGTTTTGTGTAAGGGGAAATTAATATTTTGTACTTTCCAATATACTTATGAAACAGTCCCCCAAAGCACAGGGGCTCTGGATTAGGGTAAGATATCCAGCTGGTCCCCAAAACACAACTTAGACTCCATTCCTAAGCTGAAACCAGTGTTTCACGATATAAAAAAATACCTTTGAGGGGTATCAAAAGTTAAATAGCGAAAATTAAAAAAAAACACAAACCCCTATCTTACTGAAGCCATTCATTTTTTAAAAATTAATTTTATTTATTTATTTTTGGCTATGCTGGGTCTTTGTTGCTGCCCACGGGCTTTCCCTAGTTGCGGTGCGCAGGGGCTACTCTTCGTTGTGGTGCGCGGGCTTCTCACCGAGGGGGCTTCTTTTGTCGTGGAGCACGGGTTCTAGGCGCACGGGCTTCAGTAGTTGTGGCTCGCGGGCTCTAGAGCGCAGGCTCAGTAGTTGTGGCGCACGGGCTTAGCTGCTCCGCGGCATGTGGGACCTTCCCGGACCAGGGCTCGAACCCGTGTCCCCTGCATTGGCAGGCGGATTCTTAACCACTGTGCCACCAGGGAAGTCCAAAGATATTAATTTTTTAATAGCTCATTTGTTAATAATTTTTTAAGAGCAAAGCTTAACTTGTAAAGTAAAATTGTCTCCACATTTAGAAGAAATACGCTGACTACATGGTTCATACAAGTATGATAAGATAATGACTTTTAAAGTTGCATTAATGTAAATTAAGCTGAAAACTTACTTCATCGAACCTTCTGTCGGTCCCCATGACCAAAAGGTTGTTAAACTCTCTTTCCAAGACAGCACGAGCCTGAAATCATAAAACAACACCACCCTACAGCTTTCAACAATCTCACTTGAATATCAGCATTTCTGGACTGCTTTTTAAACCAAGACTTTAAAAACAAAACAAAACAAAGAAACTCAAACTCTGACAGTATTTTAAATCAGGGGTTTAACATGGAGTCCATGGATGGCCTTTTGGGGAGAGGGATCCATGACCTCTTGGAAATTACATACAAAAGTGTGCTCTGTGGGTTGGTGCTGGTGGGAAGATCGGGGTACTGGCAAAAGATATACAATCTTCCGTAGAAGAATAAAAAAATGTCCTCATTCTCAAATGAGCCCACGAGTCAACAAGAATTGCAATTACACATAGAAACAAAATTAATAAAACCTTCATCTGACACACAAAGTATTTCTCTTTCCACGGAAGAACTAAATCTCGATACACGTCACTCTTACCAGAGTACTGACTTGAATGAAAGTTCCCCTTATTATGTTTACTGTAAGACTCTTATGCTTCCAATGGAAAATGAAAAGTCAATAGGCAAAAAATACTGCGGAATGAAGCATTACAGATTTTGAACTATTATATGACGGATTTGGTATGGAATGAGATTACTAGTGGTCTGAGATGTTGTTAAGTTTGGGCTCCATTCAGATAGGCAGCAACATGTCTGCATGGGGAGAACGGACCACACGCTGTGCCCCAGTGAAGGCCCGGCGTCTGGGCTGTACCTGTGTGTTCTGCGTGGGGATCTGTAACAAGAGGGCCAGCGCGTTGAAGTCGAAGGTTTCGTCTAGGGCCAGAAGGGCGCCGTGCACACCGCTCTCTACGAGGTTGTTTGCGTATTCCTTGAGACCAATGGACAGGGTCCAGCGAATCACTCGATCGTTGCTCCAAACGAGCACATCTGCAGATGAATAAAAACACTTTTAAAAGTGGCCTCAGAAAGCTGTGTTCATCACGTACACCCTGCAGGCACGGCGGAAAGATCCCTACCGCGAAACTGACCCTTCAGCTCCTGACAAAAGCTGGGAGACACCGTTAGGCGGGCAGCCAGCCCCTCCTGCACTGAGACGCTGATGGCTTGGCCCTTCCCCACTCCAGTGGAGACTGTCCCATTAGAACTCATTCTTCAAGTGAACCCAAGAGGAACGAAGTTATTACGTACACGTAGTTTCTAGAGAACAGAAAACGAGGATCCGGGGATCAGAAATAAAAGGACGCACAAGGATGTGAACGCCCACCAGGTACGAACACGTTTCAGATACGGACTTGAGAGTCTTCTGATATACTTTCTTCCCGTCCCAAGGAGGAGCTGGCGCCGTATCTGGACACCCTGCTCAATTCAGCATCAACCTCTCGCTTATAACTGTGAAGCCTTTTTTCTTGAAGCCATTTTTGTTGTCTCTCTTTTGTTAAAAAGAGAGAAACTTAAAGATATTCTCCAGCATATTAGAGATTTGGGGGGAAGACTTCATATTAAGCCAAGTCATAAGTGATTAAGTCTGTGCTAGTAGAGAGCTACACATAGCCACAGGTGACAGAGAGCTACACAGAGCCGCAGGTGACAGAGAGCTACACAGAGCCGCAGGTGACAGAGAGCTACACAGAGCCGCAGGTGACAGAGAGCTACACAGAGCCGCAGGTGATAGAGAGCTACACAGAGCCGCAGGTGACAGGGAGCTACACAGAGCCGCAGGTGATCACCGATTACTTTCAAAGGCAGCTCCCATCCACCGTAAGAAGATTTAAACCATTTAAACCATAGAGAAAACAAGTGAAACAGATTCACAGATTTCATTTCCAACGCCCTTTTCTGGATAAAGTATAGAATATATAGATGTTGGCTTCTGCCTTTTCTCATGATTCACATCAACTCGATCACGACTCAACCATCCTTCACACGGGCCGCATCTCCCCAACCGTATTTACCTTTAGTTTGCTTCTTAGTAAAAGCTGGGGATGGAAACAGCACTGACGCTCACAGTGCTGTGGTGAGGATTAAATAAAGTAGCCTTTGAAAGTGCCTGGACTCGTTCCCTAAGTCTTACTATTATTATTACTATTATTAGATTTATTTTCTGAAAATGCTGGGAGGTTTTGCATCGAGCTTAATCACTAGCACCTCATGTGAAAGCACTCTATCATGCCTGATCACTGAGAGGCGCACAGAGTGAGACGCTCCCCCTCGGAGACAAGCATCTGACATCCCCCAGTGGGACAGCCCACGTCCTCCCAGGCCTCCGCACCGCCTTCTAGCTGAAATGCCTCTGCGCTCCTCCCTGGCTAAGCGGCTCCCACTGCACCTTCAAGGCCCGCTCGCCCCAGCCTGGGAGGAGAGCCACGTGCTGCCCTCCTCTGCACTCCTCAAGTCCTCTGACAGACGGCCAGAGCAGCGTTTTTCACACTTAAATCAAATGAGTGAACAGCAGGTCTCGTTCTTTTCGGCTCTGGAATGATCTACAGTGTGTAGCAGCATTTCTGAGTGAAACAGGACACGTGTCATAGTAACAGGAAATCTCTAGAGTCATGGGGAAAATGTTTGCCTTGAGACACTTAACCTACAGACTGAGCACAGGACACAGGCACAAGTGCTCTGGCCACAGAGGAGGATCTTAAAAACACTCCCTCCTCTGTAATGATGCCAGACACGTTTTCTCCACTTAAAGCATTTCCTGATTTTTTTCTTTAGAACAGGAAATCACTGAGGCTGCTAGTACACTGGGAAGCAAGAAACACGATTGTACTAACCTTTCAGTTCATTCTGGCTTTCTTCTCTTTTTCTTTCCAGTTCTTTCCGGTCATAATTTAACCTTCGCAGGCACATAATTCCACACTGGAAACTGTTTCTATTTCCAAGAGAAAAAGAAAAAAAAAGAAAAAATTTAGACCGGGCAACAGTCAAACGTCTCCCAGCCAATTAGCAAGAACTACTTACGGTGACTAACCTGTGAAAACTATCGACCATTTTCAGCTGCCCGCGAAGGTCTTTCTTGGTCAAGTGGTCGAGCATCCGCGCGTCCACGAGGCACTCCATGAAGTAGCTGCGGTACTGCGGGAGGCCCAGGCTGGGCAGCCACTCGTTGCCGATCCACTCGTGGTTCATGTCCCCGTACGCCAGTGTCTGCTTTCAATAATCAGGGACGATCAGCTCAGGAAAAAGCCCATGAAAGCAGCCACAAGGACCGTTTATAGCATCTTTAAACTGGATTTTTAATCTGTTACATATTCTCAAAGGCTGATAAGCTAACGACAACGTGATTGCTTATAATTTCAAAATAACTTGATCTCTTATTTACTACCTTATAAATTTGCTGGCAAAATTTTATACAAAAGGAATTATGCCATTAAAACTCTATGACTCTCTTGTGTGTATAAATTTAACGTATTTAACAACCACGATAAAATCATAACTGACTACACATTACTTTTCTGAAATAGCTTTTATACATAATAATCACGACTCATGAACAAGTTTGAAGGATCCATCTAACTCTACTCATTAACAATATCTCTGGCTGTCTTTAATTGTATTTTTAACACTTTGTTTTCCAAATCTCCTTAACAAAACATCTGTTAATTTCCAAGTCAGTCCAGTGAATTAAAAAATAGTTTTAAAAGAACCGATAAGCAAAGCAGTAACTGACAGGCTGAAAGGAGAAAGAGACAAACGCACAATTAGTCAGAGACCTCAACCCTCCTCTCTCAATTATTCAGTAACTGATTGAACGAGGAAGCCAAAACAGACAACCAACCAACCCCAGTAAGGATAGAGAAGCCTTAAATAACGCTATCAACCAACCTAACATAACTGACATTTTATGTAACACTCCATCCAACGGCACCATACGTTCTTTTCAAGGGGATATGGAACACTCTTCAAGGCAGACGAGTCTCAGCATACTCAAAGTGACTGAAATCATACAAAGTATGTTCTCTGACCTCAACAGAATTAAATTAGGAATCAATGAAGCAGAAAGAAGAAAACAAAGGAGCAGAAATCAATGAAATGGAAACCAAAAAAACAGAAAATAAAACAATGAAACTAAAATCAATTTCTTCATAGATATCAATAAAATTGACTAACCAGAGTGATCAAGAAAAAAGAGAAGACATAAACCACCAATGTCAAGAATGAAAGAGGGGACATCAGTACAGATCCTATAGACATTGAAAGGATAGCAACAAGGGTAAACTGTGAACAACTTTAAGCAACTTACATAAAGTAGTCTAATTTCTAGAAAGACACAATTTATGAAAGCCACTCAGTAAGAAACAGATAACCTGAATCTATTAAAACTCAAATTTGTAGTTACAAACCTTCCTACCCACCCATACATGCACACACATAAAATCTCTACCCTAAATGGCTTCACTAGTGAATCCGATCAAGCATTTATGAAAAAAATACCAATTCCACACAAACTATTCCAAAATAGTGAAGGAAAAAACCGCCTAACTCATTCTACGAGGCCGGAATCATCTTGATACCTAAACCAGAGAAACATATAATAAGAAAACTGCAAACCAATATCCCTCAGAGACACAGATGCAGAATTCCTTAACGAAGTATCAGGAGATCAATAATCAATTAAACGAACAGGATATCGTGACAAGTAGGGCTTATCCCAAGAACGTAAGGTTGGGTCAATGTTTGAAAAACCAATGAAATTCACTGTATCGATGAACTGAAAAGAAAAACCATAATATCATCTCGAAAGACAAAGAAAAGGCAGCTGACGATATTCATCATGTATATACGGAAACCTCAGCAATCTAGGAATGGAAGAAAACTGCCTCAACCTCACATACAGAGCATTTACAAAAAACGGAGAGCTGACAACACGCAATGCATTCTCCCTAAGGTCAGGAACAAAGCAAGGATGTCTGCTCTCGCAACTTTTATTCAACACTGTATTGGAACTCCTAGTCACTGTAATAAGACAAGAAAAATGAAACCAAAATCATATGAACTGGAAAAGCAATAAAACGGTATTTGCAGATGACCTGGTTATTAATGTGGAAAATGAATCCGCAAAACAGTTACAAGAATAAAAATGAGTTTATTAGCAAAGTTGCAGGATACAAGGTCAACATATAAAAATGCACAATACTTGTAAATACTAGAAATAAACTGGAAATTGAAATTTTTAAAAATACCACTTATTATAACATCATCAAAACCCATGAAATCCTCAGGGATAAATCTAACAGAATATGTGCAAGGTCTGCACAATGAAAAATAAACACATCATATGTATATACACACACACCAAAGACAGGTACTTGATGTTCTGCAGTCCAAGAAGACTAAGGTATATTCAGAGGAATTCTGTACATTATGCAATCCTTGGAAATAGTATCTCTCGACTACCACCATGGTCTGTCTCAAAAATATGGCCTCTAATCTATTTTCTTTTTTCTTTTTTTTTTTTTTTGCTGGGCCTCTCATTGTTGTGGCCTCTCACGTCGTGGAGCACAGGCTCCGGACGCGCAGGCTCAGCGGCCATGGCTCACGGGCCCAGCTGCTCCGCGGCATGTGGGATCTTCCCGGACCGGGGCACGAATCCGTGTCCCCTGCATCGGCAGGCGGACTCTCTACCACTGTGCCACCAGGGAAGCCCTCTAATCTATTATTAATACCAACAAAGCTGGAAGGAATGATTCAGACTCCAGCAAGAACACTCAAATTCTAATAGGAAAAAAAAATGTTTCTAATAGAAAAAAAAAATTCTATAAATGGTCATGAGTGGAGATAAACATCAAACACTTTTGGGACATCATCACAATATCACGTTTCTTCACTCTTTCAAACCCAACTCTCATCTCAAGCCTGACACTTACAGCATGAATATCTCTCATAGCCTGACACTTGCAGCGTGAATATCTCTCATAGCCTGACACTTACAGCGTGAATATCTCTCATAGCCTGACACCTACAGCGTGAATATCTCTCATAGCCTGACACCTACAGCGTGAATATCTCTCATAGCCTGACACCTACAGCRTGAGTATCTCTCATAGCCTGACACCTACAGCATGAGTATCTCTCATAGCCTGACACCTACAGCATGAATATCTCTCATAGCCTGACACTTGCAGCATGAATATCTCTCATAGCCTGACACTTACAGTGTGAATACCTGGTATTATTTCCTTGCTTGTGGATTATGTGTTCTTAAAGAGAAACAAGATGCAAAGACATTTCTAAACAGAGAATTCCACGGAAGCAGAAGCTTCTGTATCTTTGTTTACTCCTTAGGTACTCTAGTCACACCTAAATGGTCGATCATATAGGTTTCTGGGAAAATCAGGCTCAATCCAAGGGAGACCCACACCTCCTAGGCTGTCATCACAGCCTCTGAAAGAAAGCACACAATGGGGCTCTCTCATGGTCAGAGAACATCTGGGATACAAGAGACTCTACAGGGTCTATCTTTCCATCACTGAAATGATCACAAATACAAATCAGTTTTCTGAACTCTGTACAAGGTGAGAGTGATGGCACGGATGCGGCTGTCCTGCTCGATCCTGTACCACCAGTGGGCAGTGTAGTCTCGCGCGGACAGCTGGGTGATGCTACTTGCTAAAGGAAGGCATCCAAGGCTTTGACAACACCTTGATGTCTTCTTCCCCTGAGTGCCCAAGGGAATCTCAAACTTCCCCTTGGGTTAGGAGCTGGTCACTGTGCTAATACCACAGGGAATACGCACTGTACGCCATCTGCCCCTGGCAGCTTCACGGACACCAGGAAGCCTCTTTGCTTTCCTCTCCTCTAGGAGAGGGGTGGAGTGAAAACGGTCCTTGCTTACGCTGAGGACTCAACGTTGGCAATTCTGGTGTCATCGGCAGGGCTCATCCTTGTTTCTACTTCCGTTGCGAAAAGCAAACGTCCAGCTTATTTAATTTACACTTCGTGCCCCACGACGCAGGGAATTTTATATTCAAGTGCTCACCAAGTGCTGCTTCTTAGTGTAAAATATACTGATGTTTAAGTAATTATGAAATGCACTCTTTCAAATTCACTGATACTCATTAGTGACCAGGTTAAAAAATTAATGAGGATGTTTACCTGGAGTAGTGGCACAGAATACCTAAATGGTGGTGGGGGGGAGCTCACAGCATCATATTATAGCGTTTCCTCTTCTGTTAAAAAGTGATATAATTGGCTTTATTTCAGGAGTACAAATAGAGGGAAGCAGGTGTTTCAACCAACAACCTGTGATCAGGAAAATTCTGATTTAAAATTCCTTTGACTTTTCGGTTAAACAGTTATCCTCTCAAGGTCCATGAACAGGTGCCACTAGTGAGCGCCTCAGGGAAACTCCAGCCGCAGCCGGCAGGCTTCGACTTGTCGTGAGTCACAGGGCAATGTCGTGGGATCACACGTGGGGAAATCACTGTTTTTAATCAACGGGTCTCAAAGTAAAGCTGCAAAACAGCTGTGACAGGGCTTTTCTCGAGCTGAACTGGGGACCTAACAATTCCACACGCAGGGTAAGCAAGAATGGGCTCAATTTCTGAGAATCCCACCAGTAAGAAAGCCTTTGGAACAACACTGTATTAGGACACAATGTAGCAAATGCCGACAGAGGTAGAGGCTCTACAGCAACCCTTGTGTTGGAAATTTATTAGAACACGATTTCCTCCTCAGTAGGTCTTGTAACTAACTCTACCCCCACCAGGGACTGAAATACATCATCTCAGGAGCTGCCAAAGCCAACAGGGCTTTGTAGGAAGGACCACGTGTCAAACAAAGTAATTTACCTGAGTGAGAACTAACTACCAGGGCACCACACGAGACATGTTCAAAGTTGTCCATGAGACGCACTCGTTAATCCCGTGCTTTCTTTGGCTAATGCTTTCAAACCATTAACAATATTCTATGTCAAGAAGTTAAAAACGTCAAGAAAAGTAAATTACAAGTTTTCATACTCCAATTCTTTTTGTTGCTGTACATATAGTGAAGAATACGTTATAGAAAGTCTCCAACCTGAGCCCAGCTTCCCTCCTCATCTTCCTGATGTTACGTGGTCAGGGATGCAAAAGAACATAACTATTAGTGTTGGCGAGCTTAGCAATGCAAGCAAAGTAACTTTGCAGGGGAGGTGCAGCTTAACGGGGTGAAAAGGGTCAGAGAATCAAAGCATCATGCAAAACTCATGCAAAACCAACAATTCCCACGTCTCATGCGAGGAGCGGACTTCCCACGGCAAGCACACCCGGAAGAGGAGAAAACTAGGGCCAGAGGGCTGAACTGAGGGCTCCCCTAAAGAAGACAGCAATTAAGTCTATTCTACGTGGAGCGAGTCTACCAACTCTAAGTTCCTGAAAAGAATATAAAATAGGATGAAATATGGATTGTGTTTCACACGTTTAACTATTACCTAAAGGAAATACTTGTCCAGAACAATCGAATGTAAGACGACATTTCTGTTTTCCACAGAAAGGCCAAGAACGGCGCCAACCTGAGGTGGGGCTGCCCGGGGAGGGGTGGGGGTGGGGGGTGAGCACGGGGCGGGACTGACCGTCTGGGGCGTGGCCGTGAGCGTCTCCATCTCCTCGTGTGTTAACCAGACATTTCCTGTGGTCTAGGGGCACCCCGTGACCGGCCACATCCAGGGCAAGGGCAGCGGTGACAGAGGGGAAAGGCGGCAGACACGTCAGCCAGGTCAGCCAGGGCACGGGAGGGGAGCGGGTGGGGCAGAGGCCGTCCCCACCCACCTCCCCGTCTGAGATGCCCACAGTGAGACACGGGCGGGCGCTCGGCCCTTCTCCTGGCAGGACCCCGCCTTCTTAAGGAGGACAGCCTAGAGCTTCTTCCTGTGCCACGCTGACACCTGAGATACGTGGGATCTAAAGAGCTGTTAAGCCATTGTACTTAAGACGGTCTCACCCAGTCAAAGCACAACAAAGAACAGGACAGAAGTCCGGCTTTGGGCTCTGGGGAGACGCTTCTGAGCAGGCGCCCGCCGGGGACCGGGGCCTCTGTCAGAGGCGGGGCGCGGAGCCGCCAGCGTCCCAGTGACGGCACCGCCGGGCGTCCCCGCAGCCCCAGACGGCCGAGCCCCCGTGGGCGGTGCCCCCGCCTAATGGTGGGCAGGTTCCTCACGGGAGGCCTGTTCGTCTTCACCGTCCATTAAACGCAACTCATAAGACGCTCCCTTTACCGAGATACTTGATAAAAACTGCGGGAAACCCCCCAGCACCTTCATTTCTGAAAAGGCGACTCTGGTGAAACACCTGGGCACAGAGCAGATCAGATACACTGAGATCACGCACACCTGTGCAAGAGGTGAGGACACGGGCTACTGTCATCACCACGACGTTCCCACTGAAAAACAACGGCAGACAAGCGAACAGAAAAGCTTTCACGCTTTTTGTGTAAAGTAACCGTGAGCCCTGAATCAGGCGTTGACCTGCTACTCAGAGGAAGTACGTCTGTGAGGCTTAGTTTCTGCACTGGTTTTTCTCTCCGGAGTAGACAGACTGAAAGCAGAGTGGGAACTGAGCCGGTGTACAGAGTCTGCCCTTGAGAAATGAAGGGCTGGCCCGCCCTGATCTCCCAATTATCATTCACGTTTTCACTACGTTAGTTTTTCACTTTTTCAACTAGGAGGACCCTCTTAAAGGACTTCCAAGGTCTTCCCACGTGGAGCAAAACTGGATGAGCACCAACACTACTTGGAGTACACTTGCAGATTTACGGACTCTTAAAATCCCAGGGTCTACAGCTCCCGAAACGGAGAGCGCCAACAGGCCGAACAGTCAAAGGAGGGGACCATGCTTACAATGCAGCCTGGGGTCTAAGCTTTTTCTCCTTCACTTTCTTTAAATTCGTATTTAAATTTGTGATGGTTACTTTTTTACGTTTTCAAAGACTCCCATTTCTATATCACAATGCCACTGTAGCCAAGCTGTTATAAAAGTATGTAATGACCTATCTTTTAACAGCCCAATTGCCGCAAATTAAAAGTTGTCATGTCTTTGAATGCTAAACCTTTAAACTGGAACACTAGATGTGTTTCTAAAGAACTGCGGAAGCAACACGCATAGGGGATGAACTCTTTTTACGGAAACGTACCGTTCTTGACGTAGGAGGGGCTGACGGACTTGTCAGGGACATGATCTCCTGAATCGCCAGCCTCAGCTTCAGCCGGTGCAGAGGGTTGCTGATGCCGATCTCGCGCTGGATCTCCGTGTCCGACAGGGCGGACATGATGGCCCCGCTCTTCACGTTGGCTCGGCAAGCAGCCACGTACCAGGCCGGCATCCCGACCCAGAGCTGGAGACGGGAGACACGGGGGCCAGAAGGTTATGCGTGGCGTACGGACGGGCTCGCACACTCGGCCAGGATTCGGAGAGGGGCATACGCACCTCCAGCCAGACGACAACAGTTGGCCCGTCCCACTGTGCAAAGGGTAAGCCTTGTCTCCGGGCTTCTTCGAGCAATTCGTGCCTACAGGTGACAGACGTTCAGACCTTCAGGAGCCACACTACACACAGGCAAAGCGTCCTCTATAAACCCCCCGAGTGTGGTGCCACACATCTCATCGCTGTCCTTCAACCTTCTAAACCGTCCACTGAAGGGTAGTTTGGAACACACCACACTGAACGCCTGAGTAATGAGATGCTGAAAGACCCTCGAGGATTCTCTACAGAAGCGTCTCCTTCCAGGATTAAAGAATTACTACCAACTTTAAAAGACCCAGCAGAGTCTTCATATCCAAGGTAGGATATTCAACACAAAACATAATCACTCATCCCTTTCTAAACAAGGAGGACAAATCCGTAGGAAGAGGAAACCATACCTAGGTCTGAACAGAGGAGTCTGCCTCAGAGAGCTTCAGAAATGCTCAACATTTCACAACAAAAAACACAGAGAACAACGCAGACCTTTAACACTAACGACGCTCTAATACAGCGAGCAAGGAAAGGGCTGGATTTTGACTGTTTCTATTCTGCACTGCTATTTAGCTAAGTAGGTATTTGCTAAATTAAGATATTGGGTCATCTTTTTTGGGGGGGGGTTATTTATTTTTTTTGGCTGTGCTGCGCGGTTTGTGGGATCCCAGTTCTCCGATCAAGGATCAAACCTGGGCCCCCTGCAGTGGAAGGGCAGAGTCCTAACCACTGGACCACCACCAGGGAATTCCCGGGTCATCTCTGGTTTAACCCACAAGCTTCACATCCAGAAAATTTAAATGCCAACAACCTCTACCAGTGCACACAAGGCAGGCCGTGAGCCTACGATACTGTCGGCGATGCCAACTAGCCCAGGGCAGGAGGCAGCGAGGAGTCCTGGGATCCTTATGGCAGGGCTCCCCAGGCCCCGGGATGTGGACCGGTGGCAGTCCGTGGCCTGTGAGGAACCGGCCGCGCGGCAGGAGGTGAGCGGCGGGGAAGCAGGCAAAGCTGCATCTGCTGCTCTCCGTTGCTCGCACTGCTGCCTGAACTGTCCCCCTGCCTGGCCCCCCCACTCTGCGGAAAAACTGTCTTCCACGAAACCGGTCCCTGGTGCCAAAAAGGTTGGGGACCGCTGCTTTATGGGGTCAGAGATGTTCTATGTGCCTGACTTTAAAATGCCCAAACCATAATGTTAACATCTTTTAAAATGATTTTGTCTACGGATAACATACTTATGTAAGAGGTAACACAAGAAGCTTTATGAACCTTATTGTACTTCTCTGCGTTACGTACTTACAAAACTTTCTGAAAGTCACTAATTAGCTTAAAAATGAAAAGTCTAGGAGAGAAGGTGGGACTGGAGTGGAAAGGACAGGTCCATTTACCTGACTGGACATCCCTGAGTCACTGCGAAATTCCTAGGTCGTTCTTAGTTATTTTTCTGTAATAATTTCTGCAGATCACCCCATGGAATCTTTTATTTCTGAAGATACTTAGTGGCTTTTCTTTCTTTTTCTTTTTTTGGCCACGCTGCACGTCTTGGGGGATCTTAGTCCCCCGACCAGGGACTGAACCCGGCCACCGCAGTGACAGCGCGGAGTCCTAAGCACTGCGCCGCCAGGGAACTAACTCCCTAAAGAAACAGAGCGGCTTTTCATTCTATTCAAGCAGCATTAGACTTAAGACTGTGACGTCTATGTACAATTAAAGCCCAAAGTGTTTCACATAAAATTTCAAGTAAGTGTTCCTTTAAGTCAACCTTAGGTTTCCTGGGAATAGTAAATACTGTATTATCCAGGAATGATTATACCAGAGAACACAACATGTATCTTAACAGCTCAACAGAGTAAAAAACCCAGTAAACTTTTCAAATTAAAACAAACAAAGCTATTCATAAATTAAAAACAGAAGCTGAGTCCACATGAGACTGTGACCACCCTGACACAGGACCCCAGCGCTGGAAGGAGTCATGGAGGCAAGAAGGGCCCTGTCGGGCAGAGCAGCCATCAGCGCTGAATTGAATGCTACTTCCTGTTCCCTGAAGATGACTCCTCCTCAAAGACAGCAGCTACACCTTATGTAAACATTCACGGCGGCCATACAAGCCTCTGAACGCCACAAACAAGGCCTGCACAGGCCAGCCAGGCACAGCCTGAGTGTGGTCCCCGGACCGCCAGGCTGGCCAGGAGGCGGCGCCGCAGCACCTGCCAGGCCGGGGCTTTCAGAACCCCGCGCTCTGAAGGGAGCCAAACAGGCACTGAATCCTTGGCACGTTGCCAGAGGCTTCATTTTTTTTAAATATGCAACAGATATTCACTGTAGACGAGAAATTCAGGGTTAAAAAGAGCCCACTGATCCCATTACCTGGAGATTGGTGCACACTGTTCTGACTCTTTTCCAGGCAAGAGTCGCTCGCTTTCATAAAAGGCCTTTTCTACCATGGATGTATTTCTGGGATTTTAGAGCTCCGGTCCAGCACCCTGATGACACTGGGATACGGTGACGGTGACAGGACAACGCGGCTGAGAGACGCGGGAAGCCAGCGAGAGGGCGAGGAGGCCTGCGGCCTGGGAGCACAAGCCCCCTCCTCCCCGAGGTGCCCGTCCCGCACTGGGGGAAGCACACCCGCAGGCGGGCATCAGCGGCAGGGCCCCCACTCCTGCCCCTCCCGCCAGTGGGGCACAGGAGCAAATCACTGCCGCTCTCCCACTTCATCTAGGAACCCACTTCTGCCTGCTGCCGACACAACGCGCGACTGCTCCGAATGGAATGCCGCGTGCCCTGGGATTCTCTGTTTCTACTCTCTCCTGTTTCCAGTTCTTCTCAACTGGAAACGCTCACGCTCCCCCCGGCGGAGGCCCACCTGCTCCCGCGGCTGCTTTTCTTCGGCGCGCTCGTCCGCACCACAGGGCTCTTGGCTGCCTTACGACCAACTGCTGACATTCTATCTGTTCGAGATCTGGGGACTGCCACGGCACACAGTTTTGTCTCCCTCACTGAACCCCATCATAGACAGTCTGAGAAACCAGGGGATGAAAGCAGCTACCTGGAGACTATTTGGGAAGCTATCGCTAAGTCCTCTGCCAGAAGCAGAACACCTGGTCTCCCCTAATGGAATATCGGTAACAAAAGGCCAAGAGAAAAAGACTTGATGACAAAAAATGGTATTTAAAAAACTCTTGAGTGGCAGAATAAAATCTGTTCAGTCCCTCACTTAGGAACAAATGTGTTTCTTTAAAAAAAAAAAAGTACTGATATCAAGAGCAAAGAAATAAATAAATGTGAAGTACAGCCTACCAACTCGCCCGTTCACTCACACGACCACTTTCTAATAATCAACAGAACCGTCTTTTCTTCCTTCTTTACTACAGCTACCAAGATAAACATGACAGGCATTTAGTCCTCAGCTAAGTTAACTGCAAGGGAAGGAGGTATTCCTTCACAGGTCAATCTTCTAGAAAACAAGAAATCTTCCAGTCATTAGCTCCCAAGCCTAAAACACGAGCACTAAGGTGACAGGACTCCAAATGCCTTAAATCTCCCCAAAGCATCCAGCTCTGTTCCGAAGAAGCTGAGCTACGAGCCAGTATCCTGCGGGATGAGGCGTATGCCATCTGCCGGGATCCCGCGGCCCCGAGCCACGGTCCAGAAGCAAACAGAGGACTCGCTCCGTTTCTGCTGGGATTGATTTCCTTCCTCTGCAACGCTCTCTGCTGTCACTGTCTCACTCTCATCTTTGACCTCAGTTTACAGAGAGGACTGGGGAAATGAGCTCAAGGGGGCTGCCTCCCCTGCGGGCCAGCTGGGACGAGGTCAGCACTGTGCCCACCCGGCTCGGGCCACGCGTGCGGGGCTACTCGGCTGGGACTTGATCTGCCCCGTCAAGGATCAAATTCTAGACCCCAAGCGGGATTTCTTAAATACCTGCTCTAGTAGTCGACTCCTGTGGCACACTTACTAACCTCAGAATCAGAGGCACAGGAGAAAGACATTCAGAAATACGCTGAATTCTATGGGGAACAGACACGCCTATGAGAGAAAGGTCATGCCATATGTGAATGACAACATGCGTTTTAAATTGGGACAGAAGCACCACGGTCAAGCCGTCTTTCGTAACGAGACGGTTGTGTGAGGCGCTGATCAAATACCATACGAGTGGCATCATCCAGACAACAGACAGGGCCTCGTTTCTCTGACACTGACACTCTGCACACCCGGCACCTCCTACAAAGGCTCACCGGGCTCCACTTCACCGACGCAGTCGCGCAGGCCGGTGCAGGGCCGGAGAGAGGCCCAGGCAGGAGGACTGCGGTGCCACTTCCCGTCAAAAGCAGTGCAGCTCCGAGCCTGTAGCTGGCGACGGGCAACGCGGAAGGTTTCAGGACACACAGCACAGCAAACCCCACGACTCAGCTTCCCCCGTGAGCGCACGACAGCGTCAACCAAGGGGAGGTGGAAAGACAGCATTTACAGCACCAGGTCCTTATTAACAGGGCCCAGTTCAAACGCCGCTGAGCAAGTGCCCGCACGCGGGGAGCCCGTCTAGAGCCCAGGCCACCGCGACGATGGTCAGGGACGCCGGCTCCCACGACAGCTGTAGCCTCCACGCCCCACCGAGCACGTCCAGCACCAAGTGTGCCCGCCGCGCTCTCTCATGTAGCTTTCATGAAACCTGAAAGTCTCATCTTCACCAAATTTTGAAAATTCTCTAAAAAAGTGGACGCACTGGCTGTGTAAATTCAGCAGTTAAAAGAGCACCTCTGAGATAAATTGGGGCTTGATAAAAAGAAAATATTTCTGACAAGCGTATTTTGATTCTCCTATCGATAATGCCATAAACGTTAAACTATATTCAAACAGTACTTTTTCTGGAAAGCTAAAATATTTTTTTCACATTTATAAGTAAAGCATTCTCCCTGAAGCCAATCGTATCTCTGGTTAACTGACAGAACTAAAATCACCCACTGTAGTCAGAAAACCTTCGGACTCTGCGTTGTTCTCCAAGTCGTCAGTACATGTTAGAACTTGCCGCGCGTGACGGTGGAGCAGAGAACACCCTGCTCGTGCACTCTCAGCCATGGTAACACAGAGTCAGAAGTTCAGCCTGAGCACCCGAGCTCCAGAGGAACCTGCCTAGCAGACACACACACACCAGCGCACGGAACTTCATCACACGCCGGGCAAGTAACCCAGCGACGTCTGCCACGTGCAGCCCACCACTCGAGCTTCCTCCTGAGAATTACAAGACAAATGGAGAAAACACAGTGGAAAACTACGTTTGACGCTACGTGAAACACCAACACTCAGGAGCAGAGGGTGGGAGGGCTGGCGGCACGGCCATAACCCCTCCTGGTCTCTAGCAGCTGAGCGGGAAGATGTCAAGTGAAACGCCCCAGCAGAATCTAGGGCACAGAAGTGTCCTGGCATGACTCCAGAAGGGCAAAAGGCTCTGACGTTAAGTCCCCATAAGCGAACGGCAGTCACCTGAGTTCGGGTACGACACTCTCTACAGTTCAAAGACAGCAACACTCAAATCAGCTTTTGCTGTTGAGTTTCTACAGTTTTCCACTTCCAGGGAACCAAAGACCGAGTATTCCTACGGTGTCGTGAGCAATGACCGAACGGACAGCATTTCCCCCGGAACGCAATCAACACTATGCCACGCAAGATAACTGTGATTTCTAAGAAGAGAGCTAAAATGAGGCAGATTTCACAAAAGAAAAATCAACAGGCAACTTGAGGGGCTAAAGGCAAACTGGCCTCTAGTGGAGAGGGTCCCCGTGGGCTCAAGGGTGGTCCTGGGGTCAGTGCCTGCAGGCCCCGGATTCCAGACCAGCGTTGGTTTCTCAAGGTGCCTGACAGTGGCCAGATGACCTTCCCCATCGTCAGATTTATCACAGAGCCCACCCAGCTTCCCCCGTCTCAAGGGCCAGTATTACCACCTTATCACCACCTTCCCCACTCTCAGGTTCGTGCTCACCCGAGACTACAAAACGTTCCATCGTATTTCCCACTTGTCAGTTCACTGGGACAGCCTCCGCCTATCCAGGTCATCTACTTAGCGCTCGTTTGGGATGTGGTCACCCGACACACAAATCGTCCTGGGTCAGAAAACGTCTCTGGACCCAGAGACACATGCACACGCTATGTGCCTCTGTGCCTCATCCTGGGGCATCACAACGCCCGAGCTCCTTTGCAGAAAACCATCCCTACTGTTATCGCTTATTTTCAGAAATCAGGACAACTCAGAATTAAAATTTAATAAGATTGCAAAACTGAGAGTCTGTTTAAGGTAAAAATACAAAATCTACCAGAGGAGGGAAAAAAAGGGCAACATGGTAAGTGACAACTTCCTGACTGATGGCTAGCGTGAGCCGCAAATGCCATGTCCCCGTAGTGGCTGCAGTCACACGTGCGTCTGCCCCAGCGCCGGCACTGCTTAAGGAGCCTCGTGGACGTATACGTAGATGTATCTGTACAGCTAATGCTCGTAAAGGCCCCATGGGGTATGTACTACTATGCCTCGCATCTCACAGATGAGAAAACTGAAGCACAGGAAAGCCAAGCTTCCCAACGCCCCAAAGCTGACTCGTGCAGGAGCCGCATTCAGATACGAAGGCTCCGTGGCTGCGCACGACTCAGCCACGACACATCCTCGCCAGAGAACTCTCTAGAGTGGACTAGGAGCCCACGTGTGAGGCCTCCCCGAATTCACAGGTGTTCTAAGTCCTCCGGGAAGCACAGTTTAATAAAGGCTTTGGGCTAAGCTTTCAGAAGATAGTATATCTACAGAGCTGGATATCACATTTAATCAATAAACATTAGTTAAGCATCAGGAACAACTGAAAACTGTTCAGTGAGATCGACAAAAAACAAAAACCTTACTTTTTTTGAAGTTTACGATTTTTTTCAGCCTGTCCTCCCAATTTGCTGAGTCCCAAGGCATCTTGAGATGAGTTTTCTGTCTCTGAAATAACAGCTACGAGGAAGCAGAGTGGTCGAAATATTGAGAGAAAATCAACACGGCCGAGTTAGGTGTTTCTGTAAACAGGTGGAGGAGTTTTTGTAGGGAGAGTGAGGAAAATTCTAAAGGTGAACTTTCCGACCAGACGGCCCATGCGCACACACGCACACACGCACACGAAAACGCTCAAGAGGCAGGAAGGCTGACGCCTGGGAGACGCTGAGCTGCTCAAGGCAGGCAGACGTTACCCGTGCTCTCTGGGCCGTGTGTGGACCCACTGGGGAAACAGACCCGGGAGAACACCCAGCTCGTGTGAGAGGAAGCACGCGGTGGCGACGGGGCGGCGGAGGGGCGCGCAGAGGTGTGCGTGCAGCCCCCTGCCCACTCCGAACACTGAAGGGTCGGCTGGAAACCACCCACCTTGTCCCAGCGACTCCTTGCCCAGGGCCCCAGGCCGGCCCTTCTCTTTCTTGCCGAACAAGCGGCCGATAGAGGACTTGATGCCCTTCTTCTTGGGGGCTTTGTGCAGCGAGTCCTGGCTGCTGCTGCTACTGCTGGGGTTGCTCGCGGGGCCGTCCTGCGAGCCTGTCGAGCTTTGGGGACAGAAAGTGACCTTTAACGGGTGGCCTCGCGCAACCACACCCCCTACAACGCTCGCTCCCCACACCATGCGGCAGACGGGGCTCCTCGCGGACCGCGGCGCGCACAAGAGGTGCAGGCTCCCCACCACGGACAGCTGCTCCCGAGAGGCCGGGACTCTCTGACGTGAGCTCTCCTCCGAAGGGGGAGGGGCCCGACTCTAGACCACCCAGTGCAGAGGGTGCTCCGAGCCCCTCAAGGTAATGGCCCGGCAGGTGCAGACGCCCCCGGGGCCGGGGCAGGAGAGCGATGGTCACCGTGCAGGGGCGCTGGAGAGATGACCACACGTGCCCTGCATCGAGTGCTGCCTGGCTCCGGACAGGAGCTCAGCAGGTGGTGGTCTGAACAAGGCCAGCGTCACAGAACTGCAACTGACAGTCTCCTGAGAGGAGGCACTCGGGGAGCATGGAAAGATGGGGTGGGACACCTCACAGCTCGGAAAGGACAAGAACGCATCCGAGAGCCACGCAGTGTCCTACAGAGGAGTAACGCTCAGAAACAGCCCGCGCCGGCCGGAGGCTCCAGCCAGAATAGGAAGAAAGTTCCCAAAGGAGTTAATCTGTAGAATCTGCAGAAACGAGGTGTTTCTAAAATTGCTGATATCTCTTAACTCTTTCCTTGCCAAGCTGACTCTGTCCAAACAGAAGGCACCTCCTGCCGGATTTCACTACAGCGCCCAGAGCAGGGGTCGGCACCCTAAGTCTATCACTTCAACAAACACGCTGAACTGAGTGGTATTTCTTTAAAATCATCATTCTGACTTGTTTTTCAAGAGAAGACGAACAGATTTCCTGAAAGTGGAAGGAGGAGAGCAGGGCCCTTACTTGCGTGCGTCCCTGATGTCCTCGTGGCTGGCTGTGTGCAGCGCCCCTGTGTGCAGCCGGTCCAGCCGAAGGGATCGTGGGGACGAGGGGGGTGAGGTTTCACATCTGATGGTCGTCTTGTCGTCTCGTACCTCGTCTCGGGAAGCCGGCAGCTGAGGGATTGAGATAAGTGTAAAATTAGGTGACAACAGACTGTGACGGATAAAGGAAGTCACGGAGGCTCTACGTTATAACCAGAAACTTATCTGAAAACCTATTAGCTATGCTTTCTGCCAGTACAAAAAGGCTTGATCTAGCCTAATGCCATCTTAAAGGGCTGTCTTGTTCATGAGAAGCAAGGCTGTCAGCAGAGGGAGCCGGCCTGCACCCGCACGAGCGCGGAGACCTGGACAGCGGCCTCCCATGGCCTGCCGTCCCTAGAATCCAGGCCACCCGGACAGGCCCGCAGGGGCAGCAGAGAGCTGAGCCCCGCCTGAAGCCACCACCATAAACCACGCATGGCATTAACCACCGCGATGAAGAGGACCCCGAGGAAGAGGACGGCCGTGTTTATCTCCTGATGCCATTCAACAGAAACACTAGCACGGGGAAGAAACCTCTCAGGCAAACCTGTCCAGACCTTTCTGTTTGAGAGGAAAAAAGAAATAGCTTGTTCTAGGTCTTCATCAAAAGACGATCTCTTCCAGACTCCCAGCTTTTTGGCTTATAATGGGATGTGAGTATGGGAAGCAGGGTGGTGGTTACGGTATGGGGAACAGGTTAACCCCTTCAGGGTCCAGGCAGATCTCCCTTATAAATTTGGGTTTAGTGGTTAAGCCAGGTTAGATTTTACGAAACATGCACGGCAAGCATTTGTAGAAACAATGCGACTTGAGCAACCGACCTGTGCCTTTTTAACGGGATTCTGTAAAGAATAATACTGATCCACTGCAGCCCCACAGTGGCTTGGTGACAACAAAGTGACCCGGGGCAAAACACAGCTGAACTCATTTAAGCGACAGCTGGATAAACTGTGTCCTCTCCTGATTTCTAATTACAATCATCAGATAGCAAAAGGCTAGAAAGGCTAGAAATCATCAATGTGAAACTTAACAGGGATCGATCTCAAGTTCAAGTTCAAACAATCCTTTACAAAAATCAAACGGGTCAGGGAAGTGACACAGGCCTGAGTTGACTAGGGACTCCGTGGAGACAAACAGCTGCTTTGAAGCCCAGTAAACACGACAAGGCCCTTCCCAAGGGCCTCTTCCTAAGGAAGTCCTCCGGGCCCACCCAGCCTGGCACCTCCCCCGGGATGAGAGCCCGCCCCACTGTGCCCACGTGACTAGGACGGGCAGCTGCACGCAAGCTGGGCAGGCGTCTCGGCATCCACGTGCGGCGTGGAGGAGGCGGCAGGTCCGCCGGTGCCTGGTTCTTGGCGCACACACGCCAAACCTAGAACAAGGCCCTCTCAGTAGCCAGCCAGCGAGCTCAAGCTACCACATGCAACAGACCAGGCCCCCCGGCCGGGACGTAATCAACAGGCCACTACCTTTATTGAGAAAGTCTTGCCACCAAGAAAACTACGAACGTATGCAGCAGAACTGTGTCTCACTGCCGACCTGTGGACTGTGCAGGGACGGCACAGCGTGGCCACCCCGAGGGGCACGGGTCTACCGCTGTCCTCACTTAACAGCAGGGCAAAGCCGGGCCCAGAGCGGGCGAGCGGCTCACCCAGGTCACAACCAATCGGTGACAGAGCCGGGACTTTAAACTGCCGCACTGCTGTGGCCTGGCAGAGGGGCGCTGGCGCGCTGGGCGGTGAGTGCACGCCCAGGGGGTTGTGAGCCTGAGAGGGAGGGAGACATCGTGGTCAACAGATCTGGCCCTCAGCGCACCGTATTCCCTCCAAGAACAGGGGCTCAGTCCAGGGTTATCTGAGAGGAAGGAGCCCCGAGAGCTCTCCGTCAGGAATGCTGTGAAGGAGACAAGAGCTCCTGGTGGAAAAGCGGGCCAGACGGCGCCAGGGCTGAGGGTCCAGGTTCTGAAATCAGACAAATCCACACTGCGCTGCTGACTGACTGTGCGAGCCTGGGCACAGCACCTGGCCTCTCTGAGCCTCGGCGTCCACGTCTGTTGAATGGGGATAACAACAGCACCTGGACCTCACGTGGGTGTTTGTGGGATTAGGGAACAGACTCGTAAAGCATTCAGCACGACGCCTGGCACAAAGTAACAGCCTACCGAATGCTACTACCTGTGACTATTAAAATTGCTTTCCCCCAAATCTAGCATCTATGGCTCCGCTTCCATCATTTCTTTTTTTTTTTCTTTCTGTGGTACGCAGGCCTCTCACCATTGTGGCCTCTCCCGTTGCGGAGCACAGGCTCCGGACGCGCAGGCTCAGCGGCCCTGGCTCACGGGCCCAGCCGCTCCGTGGCATGTGGGATCTTCCCGGACCGGGGCACGAACCTGTGTCCCCTGCATCGGCAGGTGGACTCTCAACCACTGCGCCATCAGGGAAGCCTCCCATCATTTCTTTTTAAAAAACACTATGGGGAATTCCCTGGCGGTAGGGTGGTTAAGGACTCAGTGCTCTCACTGCCTGGGGCCCGAGTTCGATCCCTGGTTGGGGAACTAAGATCCCTCAAGCCTCGCAGCACAGCCAAAAATAAATAAGTAAATAAACAAATAAATAAAATTTAAAAATAACAAAAAATAAAAACCACTATGTCTATTGTAAATAAGCGTGCAACACTTAGAAGGCAAACAAGCGCAAGAAAGGCAAACTCTTACATTTGTCCCAGTGAACGACCTATTTCCAGCGGAACCATCAGCATATGTTAAGTGGAGGGTGAGTTTCAACACTTCCATTAAAACGTCAATTATTCACCAGTACTCAACCACATAGTGTTCATTCACGTAAAACGACAGGGACTCTTCAATACTTCACAAAGAAACAAAGGCATGCTGAATTACTAAATATTTTACCTTTCTACGATGCTTCCTTAAATCACTAGGCTGACAGATGCATGCAAAGAAATGAAGAGAAACCAGATTTACTGCACACTTTGAAGTTAAAAATTCAAGGATCAGTACAGGCCAATATATTAAAAAGAAAATGACAGAACACATGTAAGTGAGATAAGATTTAGAGAAAATGTAACTGGAAATAGAACATTTTTTTGACCACAAAAGTTAAATATAATAAGCTATTCAAGATTTCCTAGTGAAACAGTATAAATTTTCCTCAGGAAGATACAATTCTATTACAACATACTCCATTTCTTATAATATGGCATTCTGTATAACAAAGGGCCTTAACAGTTGTCTATGCTAAGCCAAACTTCTCTATAACTTAGTTTTTCTTAATAAGAAACATGTTATACTTTAAAATAGCAATCTAACTGATGAGGAAGTAATTGCAATACCTATTTTAACACTGAACAAATCTAACCACCTATTGGACATTAACGTAAAATCCTTACCTAGAATTTGATTTAAAACTTCTCAAAATAAATTTATTGATTAAAGCAGGTACCCTGTGAAAATATGTAAGAATAAAAGCTAGCATAATAGCAGACAGTCTTTACATTTTATGATTCATAGAAGATAATTTAATTAAAAATAGTCTAGTAAAGACACTAACTGTGCATGTTTAATAAGCTGATGAGATTTACCGTCTTAAGTAATACAAGCACTGAAACCAGAAAGTACGTTGTGTCAGAGTCCATGAATTCTACACTTAGCGGGTCATTTCTTTATATAAGCAGCATCTCACTTATGAATTACACGTATGCTATACAGTGTGAGCAAAAACACTCTGGTCCATCTACATCATGCCTGTAGCCATACCTATTATGCAGTGATACACTAAATAAAACTTACCGCTATGGGGGAAAAACACTGTTTAATGAGAAACGAAGAAACCCCACTAATGAGCCACAAGCATAGACACACGCTGTGGAGCACAGCACTGCTGTGGAAGGGACTGATAACCGAGTGGGGAGGACGAGGAGCGGAGCTGGATGGTAAACTACAGACCCGGCGGTGGGGAGGCTGGGGTCTGGATTAACTGATAAAACAAAGGATGGTACAGGGAATCAACACCAATGACAGAAGCAGACACACCGTCAGCCAGGACAGAGAACCACATAACAACAAAGAAAAAAATACACAGAACTGTTTTTACAAATTCTCTGAAAGATACTAAGCATGAAACCACAAATGAAATCGTCAACGAGTTTTAATTATCAGTTAATTAGCTAATGATGTAAATTACAGAAGCAGTATATGCCCAAATACCACGACATGGACTAGTCACCACTTCACGTGTCACTGAAATGACTCAGTTGATTTACTTATACGCTAACAATGCAGCTAAAATGAAAATGGGTGGTAACAGAAACAAGTTATAACACAAGTGCAGTTAAAAAGCAGAATATTGTAAATCCGACTTCACGTGGTGAACAGCAATGCACTCAGAAGACCTAAATCCACAGAAAGCTATAACGTGTGCTCCAGAGCTGCACGCTGTCACCACGTGCTCATCGCGTTTCCAGATGAGGAAGAGTGAGGACGCCCGTTTGCTTCCCTGGGAGCCGCGGGGCACCAGCTTTTTTTTCTTTTTTTTGCGGTACACGGGCCTCTCACTGCTTTGGCCTCTCCTGTTGTGGAGCACAGGCTCCGGACGCGCAGGCTCAGCGGCCATGGCTCATGGGCCCAGCCGCTCCGCGGCATGTGGGATCTTCCCGGACCGGGGCCCGAACCTGTGTCCCCTGCATCGGCAGGCAGACTCTCAACCACTGCGCCACCAGGGAAGCCCAGGGGCACCGGCTTTTAACCTGGTTTCACATGCAGAGCCGGCATGAGTGCGTGGCCAGCTGCCTCAGCAAGAGGACCACTTTAGCTTTTTCGGTTTTGTTTTGACCGCGTGCCCTGCCCCCTCCAGTGAGACATCCCTAGTGTAAAGGAAGACAGCATCGACTCTCTGTACAGTGTTCGAGATGCCATTAGGGCTGCCTATGTTTACTCTTGCTAAGCTGTCTATTCCTGAAAAACAAAAACTTTTCTGTAGCTGCTGCGCCTTGCAGAGGCCATGCCCAATGTTACACAAAGGAGAACTTTGGATGAGTTCATGATGACATGCTAAGCTGGTGGTCCAAACATCAAAATTAATTTGTCATTAATTGGGGGGACTGATTAAATACTAGCTTTAAAAATCTTGAACCTCTGAACATAGCAAATGCACCTGACTTTCTTCTAGGTTAACAAAGAAAGCAAGCAAGCAAACCAGGTGTGCTGGGGGAGGGTGCAGCAGGGAGAAGGCAGACACTTACCAGAGTCATGACGCCTAGTCTGTCCACTTCCCTTGCCGGGCTGTGCGGGGCCCTTCGAGGGGTGGGCCGCCCGCTGCTGGGAGGGGAAGAGCTGGCCCGAGAGGAAGCAGGGTACGGGGGGATGGAGCTCACTGATCGAAAACGACCAAGGCTGTCTAAGCTCCCACTGCCCACCCTGCTCTCAATCTCCTCCGCCCGCTGCTCCGTGTTCTCCTTTTCTTCTTGTATCAACCTGAAACAGAATAAAACCGTCACCTGCCTTTGTCAGAAAACAGAGGAACGTGTCTGGATAACAAATCTGGGTCTGTGTTCTGTGTTACGATTGACGACTTAGCACTGAGTTGCTTCCGATCATTCACGTTTGATTTTCCTTATTTACACTAAATTCTGATGGGGGCTGGGTGGCAACGCTCACTGCATAATGAGACATTTAAAATTTACAGCTTTTTTACAATATTTAAAACTTACAACCTTCCCTGTTGTTACAGCAAAGCAGCACACCTGTCTATCAATTTTTTCAACCGGAAATAGGGAACTCTGACATAATCAAAAAAGCAATTCACAAAGCAATGTGGAGTTTCTAAACACAAGTCTCTAGACCTGATGAAAATGCTGAGTTGATTTTTTTTTAAGGTTGAATTTGAACAAAAGTATTATTTCATAAAGTTCTCTACCAGCCTCATGTGAGTTTCTTTTTTTGTTTGTTTTTTGGGGTTTTTTTTTTGTTGTTGTCCCCCAACCAGGGATTGAACCCATGCCCCCTACAGTGGAAGGGCAGAGTCTTAACCACTGTACCACCAGGGAAGTCTCTCATGTGAGTTTCTGGATTCATGTCGACCACAGCTGCATTACTCTGGAATTCAAGGTTAATGTTCCTCTCCCCGAATGTGTACTGGATGGTTAAATAGCAGTCTAAATATCTGACTATGCAAATACAATTATTTTGATATTAAAATACCGGATCCTTGTCGTAACCTTTCCAATTTAAGTTCTGTTTATATATACTGAAAGTATTTTCTCATTTTTGATAAAAAGTCGATGGGCAGAATTTACCAGTTACATCAGGTCAACCTGTTGCATAAGGGAAAAATCATTTTTACCTGGCTACAAAAATAAAAGTATATTATCGTTTCACAGTTCCCGCAGGGATGGGGAAAGACAGTCTTTCAGAGCTCGTCTGGGTTCAAACATGGCTCACGAAGCAGTCAGTCTATGAAGTCAAAAGTGCAGGCAGCACAACCTACTTTTGCCGTTTATTCTGCGGCCTCTCCTCTCTGGCCCCCGTTCTCTGCAGGTGGGAACGGGCACCTCTGCCTGTGTTAATGTGACAAGAGCAAGCTGAGCAGCAACTCTGACCGAGTCCGCCACAGGGTCACCGGCCTGGGGCTGCTCTGCATGTGGACTTGGGACAGGAGGTGTGGCCATGGCAGATCTGACACCGGGCAGGCCTCAGGGTACCCGATCACACTGCCGCCCCCAGACCTAAGGCCTCCTGATCACTACAAGGCGTCCTCTGGATTCTATTCCCTGTTTTGCAAAGTAACTATTATAATTGCTACGACAGTTTCTAAAGAAAACATCTTAAATGTACTGATGAGACTAGAAAATACTCACACACACATCCTCTGACCCCTGTCTTACGAGAACCGATTTTCACATTATGTTAATTTAAAAGCAAATCGCAAGTCCCAGTGGGAGCCTGCCAACCCGAAAACCCCAGCTTTTCTGTTCCCGGTGGCTTTCGGACACACCACAGAATACGCGAGGCTCCAAGGGACCCACAAGAGGGCGACCTCTCCGTGCCGGAGGACGCACGGGCTGCAGGGGGGCATCAGCTCAGAGCTGGGGGGGACACAGCCGGCTGGCAGAGGCCGAATAAGGGTGTGCCCTCACTTTCTGCGGCACGCCCACCAGCCCTGCCCCGGGAAAGGAATCCGGGGAGCCGACTCCGCCCCGACTCCCTGGCGCCATGTCTCCGCCCTGCACCCCGGACGGGCATGGCCTCGGCTCTCTGCACCCCGCCATCTCTCTCCAGGTGTGTCGGCAGCTTCCGGGGGCAGGGGCTGAACGCCTCACGCCTCTCCCCCTTCCACGACATCTCACACAGTGTGCTGACCCCACAACTGTGGAGACAATGCCCTGCTTAACTGAGCTTTATAAGCAAGGGCAATCTCAGGACTTAAAATTCTTAAAACAGAACCGACGTACGTTTCCTTATTTATGGAACACTTAGGCTTTTCTAAGTAGCGACCACCCCTCGGAGACACCGTGTTTCCGGGAAGCCAGGCACGGGCACACGCACCGGATCTCTTTGTTGATGGCGTCCAGCTGCTCCTGAAGCATCATGGCCAGGGTCTGGGCATCGGCCTGCCCGCTGGGCGACAGCAGAGTGGCCGAGCTGAAAAGCGTGTCCCCGTCGCCGGCGCCGTCAGGCACGTCCGCGCCGCTCTCGAATGCCTGCGCCACGTGAGCCAGCACGCTGGCCTGCCGCGCGCGCTCCCAGTCCTGCTCGTCCAGGGTCTGCACCTGTGCAAGAAAGGCCGCGGTTCAGCAGCGACAGTCAGGGCAACTGCAGGCTACCAGCAACTTGAACCAACTTTACACAGAGACCCAGAAGACCTTGGAAAAATGGGTCACGCTTAGAAGACACTGACATCTGTGAAGTGAGCAGTACTTAGGAAATGGGCAGGAGGAGAATCTATTTCTCAGACGGCCTGGCCACGTTCACTTCCTAGCCTGGACGGGAGGCCATTCTACGACGTTATTCGCAAGGCTGAGGCAACCGCGTCAGAAACAAAAACCGAAAATTAAAAAAATTAATTCCGTGCCACCATCAGCCAGGCTGAAGGGAAGTAAACAAAAATCCCTCAGATCCAAAGCTGCCGGGTTCACCTCGGCTGCCATAGCTTTCACCAGCGCCACCACGTAACAGGGCTCTCAGAGGTCCCTTAGTCTCGTCTCCCAACACGCGCAGACAAGAGCAGCAGCAGAAGGGAGATGGGAGAGCCTGCCCCCGACAGCCCTCGGGGCGAGGGAGCTGCAGAGCAGCGGGGCTTTTCTAGGGAACTGCAACTCGCGTTGCAAGGACACCTCCGTGCTGAGCCCGGACGCCCTCTGCGCTGTCATCAGAACATGCACAGAAGAAGCGTGCTCGCTGGGGCCCTGCGCTGCCTCTCCTCTGGGGCCATCCCACACCCCTTCCCTCCCCAAACCTCCTCCCACTCCCCATCCCCACCTCCACGCTCAGCCCAGGGTCCTGCCTTCCGTTTGCCAGACACGACCTCAGAGTAACCACGGGGCAGCCTCTAGACGCAGGCTCCCCAGCCCCCTGCCCCTGGGGCCTGTGCCCACGCAATCCGTCTTCCGACCCTCCCCAGGGCCGGGCCACCCCCTTCAGCTGGTCCAGGATCACCTGCCATCACTCCTCCTTCCCTGTGGCTAATCCACGTCCTAGGGGCTCATTCCCAACAGCCTCAGGATGTCCACTCCCTCCTCTCTCCTTAAAAGCACACAGCAGGAACCACAGAACTCTCCCTCCAGGGCTCCTTCCAGCAACCACTGCGTTTCCCTGAAAGCGCCCAAGGGCAGCCTCTACGCCGCCCCTTCCCTCCTCCGTCTGTCTCCCACTCTCTGCAAGCAGGTGTGGCTCCAGGGGGCTCCGTGGAGCCCGCACGCCTAGGTCCCCTCCCCCACACTGCCCAGCAGAGCGCTGGAGCCTCTGACTCAGCAGCCCCACCCTCCCGGGCTACTCCTCACCCCCCGCCGCCCTTTCTCAGCCTCCCGACCTCTGAATCCGGGGTGCCCCACGGCTCCATCCGTGGACCTCATCTCTCTCTCCACAGGCACCCACCGGGTGACCCTATCTGGCTCATGCCTTTAAATACCACCTGTATGCCCATGACCCCAAGTCTACCTCGAGTTGAGAGCTCTCCCGGGTCCTGGAACACCCAGCTGCCGACCTGTCCACCTGAACGGGACCGAGGCCCAGACCCCAGCCTCCCCCGACCCGGCTATCTCCCTCACAGCAGGAAACAGACCCCAGCCTTGAGCTGCTCCCGGACCGCGACCGCCCCCGCGCCCGTAGCCTACGTCCAGTGCACCGGCCCGTCTGGCTGGCACGACCATTACCTCCGAATGGCTACTTCCCCTCCCTTCCTCAGGTCTTTGCTCGAACGCCACCCTCCTGGAGACCCTCGCTGGCCACCCTGTTTAAAAATTATTATTCCCCTCCTTGTTTGGCAACTCGGGTACCCTTGGTTTCCTTTCCCTGCTTATTACCATCTGGCTGTGGTGACTGAAAAATACGTCCATGAATTCTTTAATCCTCCTCCCTTCAAGAGGCAGAGGGCAATTCCTCCCTGACCCCCGTGAGTGAGGGCAGGACTTCGCAGCTCACTCTAACGATCAGAACGCAGTGGAAGCAAAGGTGTGCAGCTTCCGGGACTGCGGCATGAAAGGGCTCTCCCCCGCTCTCTCTCGGAGGGAGTTCTGAGGAAAGCCAGCCCCATGAAGAGGTCCACACGGCAAGGACCGGGGCCCTCTCGCCAACAGCCAGGTGAGGGAGTCTGAAAGCGTGCCACCCAGCCCCGGGGGAGCCTTCCTGTGGCAGTGACCTCAGGAGGCCCTGAGCAGGGCCCAGCCCACTAAGATGCTCCCACGTGCACACGAACTGTGGACTATTAAATGTTCACTGTGAAGCCACTGAGCTTTGCAGTGATTGGCTATGCAGCAGTAGATAAAGAATACACACAGCATGTTTTATTTTACTTTCCATTCACTGCTGCCTCTCTCTTCTCACTAGGGAGTGCGTGTTGGAGTGTGCGTGCGTGCAGGTATTTTGTCTGGTTTTTTTTTTTTTTTTTTGCGGTATGCGGGCCTCTCACTGTTGTGGCCTCTCCCGTTGCAGAGCACAGGCTCCGGACCCGCAGGCTCAGCGGCCATGGCTCACGGGCCCAGCCGCTCCGCAACACGTGGGATCTTCCCGGACCGGGGCACAAACCCATGTCCCCTGCATCGGCAGGCGGACTCTCAACCACTGCGCCACCAGGGAAGCCCATTTTGTCTGTTTTTAATTCTCTGCTGGAGCCCTAGGTCTGAGGATGCCTGGCCCAAACTAGCTGCTCACTGAATATGGGAGCTCAAAATACAGAGACATATATAAAAATATATGCCGTGAAATGCACAAAAATATGAAGGCAGTTGAACTTCCAAATGAGAATTCTCACTACAAGATGGTGAATGTGTGTATTCATTTACTCTTAAGGACGACCTCAAACCTGTGCTAATCAGCACTGTGCTGTGCCTTACAGTAGGTCACATGTTACCAAAATTTGTTCTTAAAAAAAAAAAAAGCTTGCCTTAAAAGTAAACTCTTAGTCAGAAAAAGGAGAACTGGGGTAGGGGAAGAGAGGAAGCGACCCATCAAGCTTTGTTTCAAGACAGTCTCCGAACTGCAGGGTGAGGAGGCCAGTATCTCACAGAGCGCTGGTCCCCGGGACAGGGGGCGGGGCGGGGCGGGGCGGGGCGGGGGGGGGGCTTGCCTTGGAAGGCTCGTCGCGCAGCGCTGCCAGCCGGCCTTTCTGCGGGCGTCGCAACACCGCGCTGCTGCTGAAGGAGTCCGAGGGCCCGTCTGCCACGGGGAACCTGAAATCTGGGACGCTGCCCAAGTGGGGTCGGCTGAAACACGGGGGAAGAAAAAGGTCATTATTAGGAGGAAAGTGACCTCACTTTGTTGGCCAAGCCGGAACCTGTCAACTTGGAAACTGAGTGATGTCACAGGAGAAGGTCGCCCAGGAGGGCACCGCTCGCCCGCTCCAACAGCACCCCGCCGCCTGCCCCACCACATCCGGGAAAGCCAGCGCGGACACGAGGACATGCCAGTGACAGGGACGGCACCCAGCTGTCTGCGGCGCCCAGGGGTCTGTGGTCCACCTGGGAACCCGCCCTCAGGTCAGGGCGCTGGGCCCGGCACCTGCCCTGCTTTTTCCTTGACATCCACACCTCCCCTCTGGCCTTCAGCTGTTCTCTCCTTTCCTGTTTGGGCCAAGATGCCCAGTGTGAAGCCCATCAATCATAAACATTCCTCTACCTGGAACACCGTCTACACAGCTCACAGCGCCTCAGACAAACCCGCAGCAGAAACCCCTCTGAACCACGGCTTAGAGCCTAGATGGACTGGCGTTTCCGAATCGAAAGCAGAGTCCTGGGTGTAATTACATTAACGATCAAGACGCCGGGCTGAGGAAGTCCCAGAACAGGTGGCTGGGCCCGAGCACGGCGACAGGAACCGGGCGTGGTGCCAGGAGACACCCCGGTCAGCGGAGGCGCGGCCCAGCCTTGACCACGGGCCCACCTGCACTGCGGGCCCAGCCCAGGAGTTGCTCGGCCCTTGTCTCTGGGAGGAAGGGTGGCGCCTTCATTCGCAGGAGCCCTGAAATCCGGGAAACAGACCCCACTCCCCTGAGGAGAGTAAAGCTCTCCTCACACCCTCTGCAGAGCAGGCCAGGACCACGTGCTAGCTCAGCCTCCTCTGGCTCACCCACTGCTCGACGTTTTTAAAAGAAATGTCTTCCCGACAAACACGTGAAAGGGTGCTCAACATCACTAATCATTAGAGAAATGCAAGTCAAAACTACAATGAGAGATCATCTCACACCGGTCAGAATGGCCATCATCAAAAAATCTAGAAACAATAAATGCTGGAGAGGGTGTGGAGAAAAGGGAACCCTCTTACACTGCTGGTGGGAATGTGAATTGATACAGCCACTATGGAGAACAGTATGGAGGTTCCTTAAAAAACTAAAAATAGAACTACCATACGACCCAGCAATCCCACTACTGGGCGTATACCCTGAGAAAACCAAAATTCAAAAAGAGTCATGTACCACAATGTTCATTGCAACTCTATTTACAATAGCCAGGAGATGGAAACAACCTAAGTGTCCATCATCGGATGAATGGATAAAGAAGATGTGGCACATATATACAATGGAACATTACTCAGCCATAAAAAGAAATGAAATTGAGCTATTTGTAATGAGGTGGATGGACCTAGAGTCTGTCATACAGAGTGAAGTAAGTCAGAAAGAGAGAGACAAATACCGTATGCTAACACATATATATGAAATTGAAGAAAAAAAAATGTCATGAGAAACCTAGGGGTGAAACAGGAATAAAGACACAGACTTACTAGAGAATGGACTTGAGGATATGGGGAGTGGGAAGGGTGAGCTGTGACAAAGCGCGAGAGAGGCATGGACATATATACACTACCAAACGTAAGGTAGATAGCTAGTGGGAAGCAGCCGCATAGCACATGGAGATCAGCTCGGTGCTTTGTGACCACCTAGAGGGGTGGGATAGGGAGGGTGGGAGGGAGGGAGACGCAAGAGGGAAGAGATATGGGAACATATGTATATGTATAACTGATTCACTTCGTTATAAAGCAGAAACTAGCACACCATTGTAAAGCAATTATACTCCAATAAAGATGTAAAAAAAAAAAAAGAAAGAAATGTTTTCAAGTGTTGCATAGCATTTATCCCTTGTTTGCAGGAGATCAAAGTCTGGAATCTCCCTTGAACCGCAACCGTCTCCCCTTCCCCTCTGGCCTCATGCCTAAGGAAACTGCTCCTTCTTTCTCAGCATGACCTCTACCCAACTGCTTGGGGGCCACAGCACACTTCAAAATCGGGTGAAAGCTACGACACAAAATCCCGCACGTGCTTTTGGTGGCTGGCGGATCCTCTGAAGTCCACAAACGCCCCCGGGTTCTGTCGCCCCGCAGCAGTCATTTCCCAGTCTCCTTACGGAGCCCAGCCACCATCTTTGTCCCCCACTTGTCAACAGAGGCTGGCTTTCCTCCCAGAAGATCTCAGAGACAAGGTGACTGATTTCACTGTGAAGTCCTGCCAAACAAGCCGAGCCTGCCCTGCCCACGAGCCATCTTTTCAGTCCCCCCTCCGCACCCCGAGGCCCCCCTCCCCACCTGCTGTGATCCATCTTTTCCCATTTCTACAGCTCCCAACCACCTCTCTGCTAAGCCACTTGACATTACACCTCGAGAACTGCCTCCTTGAAACGTCCCTTCCCGCAGTACCCAGCCCCTCCAGCCCACTGTCTTCAGAGCACAGATTTCGCCTACAGCCCCCACCGTGCCATCAGAGCACGGAGGCCCCCC